ATGATTATCAGATTACATTCTTTTATTTGCCGTTAGGTATGAGAAAAAAAAATACAAAAAAAATACCCCAAAAAATACATATCTTACTGGAAAACCGTAATATGATCAAATCTTAAACGTACTAGTTTTACTTTTATTTTGAACGGGAATTTCAACCTTGGTGCTAATAAAAACAAACTGTATGTTCATGTGAGCAGCACAAAGTTAACTTATTAAGCCAGAGTAAACAGATGAATCATCGAGTCTCGATATCACTTTCTGAAACAGTAGACATTTTTCTACTTCATTTGTACAAGAAAAGGCCTAGTGAAGAGAAGACAGTACAATACACTGTGACCAGCATGGCGGCGTTATTCGTTATTACGGCGCTCTTTTTCCAACATGCAACAGGTAAGAGGTTTTTTTTAACAAATTGAAATCTTGTAAATATTCTAAAGGAAACAGGCCGTTCTTGGTTAAGGAGTATAGTGTGGCCAAATTCACGCGACATTTTTTTTAATCAGCAACTTCTGTTTTAATTTATATCTCCTATATCACAATTGACAGAGCTCAGCCGTCAGGAGTGGCAGTAGGCTGCACAAATTAATTACATAGTGTCTGTGGTAAACTTCATGCAGGAAACAATAATAATACTTACATATACGCCTCGATTTTAGACTTTGTATTGGTCCCATAAAGGTCCAGCCATAGGCGTATATCCGGGGGGGGGGGGTATTTACATCCCAATAGTTTGTAAAGACTGCCATTTTTCATTCAAGTGTCGATTCAAGGGTCCTGTCTTTCAACAGCAGTCCCCCCCCCCCCCTAATATTTTAAACGAGTGCCCTTTTTTTGAACGAGTGCTCTTTTTTTCCGAACAAGTGCCCTTTTTTAACCAAAAAATCGTGCCTCTTTTGTCGCAACGGCCGTAACGAGTGATATCTTAGTAGGAAAGGGGGTCTTAATGATCCCGCCCGCAAACAAAAGTTACGTAATAAATAAGATAAAGGGTGATAAGAAGCGATAAGAAGCTGATGAGGCGTAAAAATAGAAGGGATAAGGAGGATTAGGGTGTGCATATGGGGGTGGAGGGGGATTAGGAACAGATAAGAGGGTTGCGTTGCCAGATAAGGTAAGCTTGTGGTTTTGATCGTGCACTGTGATTGGTGAAGAGAAAGGGAGGTGATCTGGAATTTACGGATTGTGTGCTTGGTTGTCTACCGAGAGTGAAAACATAAGAAGTATAGGGATGTCCACACACTTGTCATAAATTATAACACGATGTATTCACACATCTCACTCGTTCATACCAAACACATGGGACTTTACGTCTTTTGGATTATTTCCGCTTCGGTGAACTGCTCAGTGAGGCCTACTCTAAAAAAAAACCTGCCTGTTTAATAATTTCAGATCTGCTAAACGTTTGTCTTTTGTACATGTTATACCGATTTGTGGGGTGTAGGGGGCTCTGGGGAGAGAAAGTACCTCTTGTTGTCTTGCACGCTGCACTCTATGAGTGGGTTGGCATCATTGGTCCTCACCAATCCCCTAAATCTCTCACGTGTTGGCTTCAAGCGCCAATACATGGTAAACTGCTTCAGCTGTCGGAACCACGTGAGGGGTGGTGTTAACATGACACCACTGGGCGAAGGACCTCCACGAAGATGGTCACGGCGAAAGAGCTCCCAGACGGCACCGCCAGGCCACACCTGCCCTAGACACACCTCATAAATATGATAATCAGCAATCAACCCATACCGGATCGGTCGTCGCCCGGGTTACCAAGGGACGCACCTCCGGCTGCGCATCAGGGCGGAGGTGGAAAGTATGCGACTGGTGCATTGAACAACAGGATTCGTGCCAGAATTAGCATCGCTATTGGCACTTGGAATGTGAGAACCTTGAGAGCAGCAGGCAAGCTAGAAGAACTCACTTACGAAATGAACAGATACCGCTGGAACATTCTTGGACTCTGTGAAGTACGATGGAAGAACAAGGCCACAAACTGTACTTCAGTGGCGCGGCGTTGGGCTTCTTTTTCACAAGGACGTTGTGAACACGGTCATCACCAGCTACAATTAGAAGTCTTGGATCAAACCCCGAAGAAAGACATTCTGGTTGTACAAGGCGACTGGAATGCAAAGTTGGGAATGATGCTTCAAGAACTTCAAGGCACATGCTTCAAGGCACATATGGACAATATTGCAATGCAAAGACCAACGAGAGAGGATTGAGACTCCTGGAATTTGCCACATACAACGATCTCGTGATGACGAACTCATTTGGCCATCATAAAGCATCTATAGAAGATGGACATGGCACAGCCTAAGCGGAGACCACCACAACCAGATCGACTACATCATGGTAAAGAGACGCTTCCAATCAAGTGTGAACATGGCCAACACACGAAGCTTCCCAGGAGCGGACATAGGAAGTGACCAAGAAGGTCAACAAGCAGAGTAACACAAGGATCAAGTTTGACTTTGAGAAACTGAAGGATCCAGCAGTAGCAGAAGCCTTCCAAGCAATGATTGGAGGGAAATGTGCACCACTCATCAGACTTGGATACGTTCATCGACACCTTCAACACAGCAGTGACCGAGACAGCCAGTGAGATTATAAAGAAAAACACACTAAATTCTTGACAAGTTGGAAAAGGCCCTCGTGGCTTCGCCACTCGCGTGTGTGGTCTCGCGCTCCAGTCACTTCGCGTTAGCGCCGCTTTGTCTGATGCCAACAAGTTAAGCCACGATGGCCTTTGCAAAAGGTTTCTGATATCCCAGATTTGTGTGATAGAAGGACAGAGCTGAAGAAAAAGAAAAACGAAGTAGAAGGGGCATCGCAATACAAAGCATTTAACCCTCCGACGCAGAAACTAGCCCTTTTGGGGACCCAATTTGGTTAATTACCTTAATTAAAAAAAAAATGTCAAACCAATTATGGTGATCTTCCATCTAATCCTAGCCAGAGACACCCACTACGGATATATGCAGTCACCTTTAGTATGTGACCCCGGGTCAGGCATATCTGAGCCTGACAACCTGGGCTGCCCATATACACGTGCACAAAACAAAGTCACTTGCGGGTAGCCAAGTGCACGACTTGACCACAGACTATGTATACAACATCTGTTTCCTGTCAATGACCTCCTTATTTATAGTCTACAGACATGTCGAGATTGAATACATACTAGCGGGATGCCGCGCTTCGCGCGGCACCCGCTAGATGGGTAGAGTTGACTGTTTCGTAATAATTACTGTATACAATGAAATCTCGATAATTTAAACTCTAATAACTCCAAACAACTGTTAAGTCAAATAAAGAATCATACCCTCTGCTGCACGCGAGGCGCGAGCCTATTTGGACTCGCCATCAGTCTCGCCTAATTTGTATTTGCGTTCAACGTGCGCGTACATAACGTTTCCTGCGGAGATTGTGCGAGGGTCCAGGACATCTTGTCAATATAGGGGAAGGGGCTAGCTAGGGTGAAGGGTGCTAAACGGAACGTCCAATTTCCGTAAAACCCGTCGACCATGTCACCAATATTTCCGGGGATGGGGAGAAACATTTCCAGGGATGGGGAGAAATGGTTTTTGTTATAGAGGGGAGATAGTGATATTGAAATCGCTGATATTGTGGAGGTTTATGTTTGTGCTGGGATTCATACCGTTTAAATGTTTTAAATTGCGCGCCGATTAGGAAGGTCTTGCTGTCAACAGTTGAATGAAATTAAGTATTCATTGCCGACCGATCGTCTCATGCGGTGTCTTATTATATAAAGCTCATAAATAATGGTGTGCTGGAATATTGTCCAGTCAATTTGTACATTGAATTTTCAAGGTGCCAAACCATTAAGGACGTAGGCCTATACACCAACTGTACAATTAGGTAATTTAGATGAAACGCGGTTTGATCTTGGCCTATACAACGTCGTATCCATCGTTCTCACTACAAAGGAAAGGAGGGGCAGCCAGTGGGGGTGGGGGTTGGATATTGTGTGGGCGTCGCCAGGATTTTTTCTAGAGGGGGGCAAAACATACGTTTGCCCACAAAATGCCTGTTTTTCTCAACACATTCTCGATTTATCAGTTTTAGAGGGGGGCAGGGACATTTTGCTCCCCCCAACCCATTAAATTTACACCACTATGACTTCGCGCCTCTTTTCTTTTTTTTTTGCTTTTCCGCCCATGCCTATTTATGTTACACCTGTGAATGGTCACTTATATTTCCGGGGAAGTGGGCAACAATTTATATTTGTTATGGTGAAGAGGGTGTTTCTTATGTATTAAGTTAATGTCATTATAGCAGTTGGTGTTTTTATTATGGTGATGGGGTTGTACAGCAAAGTATCGTAACACGCTTATTTGCAGAAGAGAGTAAAACTAAAAGAAAGGACATATTGGAGCACTTCATAATTATGTCAAGCACCACATGTTAAATGTATTTATTACAAAACTGTGAAAATGAAATCAGGTATACACAATTTTTTTATTAATAATGTATTTGCATTCATTACTGTACAGGGTAGTTCTTCGACAAAACATAGGGGATATAATTGTAGTCAGTTTTCGGAGCAATGTTCGCAAGGGACGTCGGTCCAGGCTTGTTTACCATAGGCACAAACATTCCATGAAAGACTTTCAAGCAAGACGGCCAAAGGTTATTGTGCAATTGCAGTTTTTTTGTGTTAAAAGCTGTAATCATAAATAATGACAGTGGCATTATAAGTTACAGGACAACATTTTTTTAATGAGTGTTGGTGAAAACTCATGAGAAACGGAGGGGTATGCGATCATGAATATTTTGTTGTGAAATTTTAAGAGTGATTATGTAATTTGGTAATCAAAGACATTGTTTTGTTATCAAATAAGTTTGCCAGGATCGACACAGTCTGCTTGGCCAGTAATTATCGGGTGATCATTCCATCATATATTCTTGGGTACAACTAAGCCAAGGATATGATTTAAAAAAAGGATGGACATCAAACAGCAGAAAAGAGTGATTTTTTTTGCACTATTTCATGACTTCTAAAAATAAAATTATGGCTAGAAGGAAAATGTGTTTTGAATGGGTAAAGAGAAAAAGCAGGAATCTTGCAGTTGAACTGGAAGGAATAGGTGTCTTCGTCTTGAGTTGAGATTCTTGCTTTAGGAACTGGTTGAAGCATGCACTGGAGCATGCTTGGAGCTGGTCATGTGATGTGGGTGTCATCGGGAGTCCTGTGTAAAGGAGTTAGAAAGAAAAGAATAACGACTAAGGTGAAGAAAACTTGCAATACCCCATTTATGCAGGAATTATGCACTACTGAAGTACTAACCAAACATGCCAAACAACGAAACATGTCTTATATGTTGTATTTTTGTGACCCCCCCCCCCCCCGCATATGATTTTATCTCAGCAGAACAGCAGAGACACTGAACAGTCATCAATGTATTAATTTCCTCTTTATCCTGCTTGGGTTCATGTCTGTCATGTCTGTTGTCGAGTCATGTGATTTTCTGCCAGAGTGTATTCTCTTAGATCCACTATTCTAACTGTGTTGGTTTCAGGTTTTAGTCTTTGCCTGTATTTTTTTATTTTTGGCCTGAGGTTTGAACTTGATCACGTCTTTAATTTTGATTTGAGGGTTTCTTTAATAAGTTGGTTATTGGTCTTTGATTTGCAGTAAATTAATTTTGTTTTGCCTATGACTATGAAAGCCATTTCTTTAAAGGAAGTTTTTAGTATGATTTGCCGCGTTCTAAGATTACCACAAAGATTTAGTTTGCATCATTTGTATGGAATGAATGTACATTTCATGGCCTATATACAAATGCAGCAGTTTTGTTGTAGCTAGTACTGAGTAGTAGTAGTAGGCCTAGGCTTAGGACTATAACAAACTAAAGCAAATTTCAACAATAAACTACCAACAAAGCCCAATTGTGAAATCAAAAGTTGACAAAGTTCTACAAACATGTTCGGGTACATGTTTCAAGTGAGGCCTGTAGTTGCGCGAGGTCATGCAGCGTGCAGTAAATTGGCCACATTAAGCCTAGCTAAGTAAACACACGGCCAAACTCGGGCCGAGGCCTTCCCCCGTACAACCCTCCCCGTACAACCCTCCCCGTACTACCACCAGACTACGCCATCATTGGACACTCACAAACTCACACTTTTCACAAACAACAATGCTTCTCAATGCCAGTGGCATTTTTCACAAACAAAAATACATATCATAAATGAGACTTACCGTTCAAAGAGAAAACTGGAGCAAGGAGGAACAGATACATCAACCATGTCAGCAATGCTGTGCTGTTGCATGCGCTGCATGCTCACAACGAACGTACATGTATACGTGGCACGTCAATTATCCGGCCCGTACGCTGCATGCTCATAAACGAACGTGGCACGTCAATTATCCGGCCCGTACGCAAGATGGCGGCCGGCTCAATGGGGAAAGGAATTCTGGGAAATAGGGTGGAAATAGCCGGGCCCCGTTCCGCATCCCCCGCAGCCAACAGGCGCGATGGAGACGGGAGACCGGTCGGAAAAATGGCAGCGCCCCCGAATCATTTTCGTGATTGTAGTATAGATAGATACAGCGTTGTGTAGCCTCAAACCAAGGCGCTAAATGTCTGGGTCCCCGGAGGGACCCCTTACTGTAAGCGTGTTAGTAAATGGGCTTTCTGCGTCGGAGGGTTAATCAGGAAGTCAAAAAGGACATGAAGAAAGCAAAAGAGAATTAGATAAAAGAACAGTGCGAAGATATTGAGGAAAACCTACAAAAGAACAATAAGAAAACTTACCAAATTGTGAAACACCTGATAAACACAAAGCAAGGGCGAGTTACCACCATACAGGATGAAGCAGGAAACTGTCTTACAGAGAAACAGGAGATTCTAAAGAGATGGACAGAATACTGCTCAGAGCTGTACACCCAAAGAGCCACAGGTGATCCAGAAGTACTGAATGTCCCTCCAGCAACAAAACCGATAACTACCCCATCCTTTGTGAAGAAGTGGAGACAGCAGTGAAATCGCTGAAAAAGGGGAAAGTCGGCAGGAGTGGAATACATTCCAGCAGAGCTGGTTCAGGCAGATGGAGAGGCCGTAATTACTGCCCTAACAACTATCTGCAACAAGATCTGGTAGACAGGAGAATGGCCGACACCATGGACTCAGACACTGAGAAAGGCAATTTACAACAGTGTCAAAACTACCACACAATCAGCATTATAAGTCATCCAAGCAAAGTCATGTTGAAAGTATTGCTAAACAGACTGAAGCCGCAAGCAGAAAAAATCATTGCCGAGGAGCAGGCAGGCTACCGAGCAGGGCGCAGCACAACGGAACAGATACTTAACCTCAGAATACTGTGCGAGAGATATCTACAACACCAGCAAAACCTCTACCACTTATTTGTGGATTTTAAGAAAGCATTTGACAGGGTGTGGCATGCAGCCTTGTGGGCAATTATTAGGATGTACAACATCACTGCAAACCTGATTAGGGTCATAGAGCACCTCTATGACAAGGCCACAAGTGCAGTATACTTCAGTGGCAGCAGAGGGCACTGGTTCAGGACGACAGTTGGAGTCAGGCAAGGTTGTCTACTCTCTCCCACGCTCTTCAACATCTTTCTGGAGAGAATCATGACGGACGCACTGGAAAACCATGAAGCGACTTTCAGCATCGGAGGCAGGGCTGTCATCAACTTGCGTTTCGCCGACGATATCGATGGCGTAGCTGGAGAAGAACAGGAGCTTGCCAAACTAGTGGAAGGCCTTGACAAAACATCCTCATATCCTATGGCCTGGCGTAAAAATCAGTGCAGAGAAGACCAAACTCACGACCAACAATATTGTGGCGGATTTTACTATTGCCAGGTCGGTTGTCCTCGGCGAACACTCGCGGGTAAGGCGAGTAACCCTAACAGCGCCGAGGTGCAGGTCCGTTCGGTTGGAAATATACCACCACGTATACTCAGTCTACTCACTGATCGCTGACTTCCAGACAGACAATACAGACTGACAAACATGTACAAATGACTGACGCAATGACAAAAGAAAGAAGGTTTCACTGATTTATTTAATTAGATCAATTATTATGATTAGAGTGATTTGCTTGAATACGCCCTAAATAGCGTCTCAAGTGATTGCTATGGCGCCTCTAGTGAGTGTATAGCGCCTCCCGTGAGTGTATAGCGCCTCCGCCGCCACTAGTTTGCACTTATCCACCACGCAAGTGCCGCATTTATGCACTTCTAAATGTCGCGCACAGTTGTTCCCTCAGCAACGCCTCCCGTCTCCTCGGGCCTCAAAGGGGTAGGCTCCTCGTGAGCCTGGTTTATATGGAGCGTGTAACTCCTCGATGAGTCCTAACGCCTCCAGCGGTACCTACAGCAGCCCTGCGCCTCAGTGCTCGGACCGACGCCTCAGTAGATGTACGCTCGCTAGCGTACGTCGTCCCTCGAGGCGTCCGGCCAACAGTCGCGCCTATGGCTCCGCTATATGCCCCACGCTAAAGGTAGGTAGGCACATATACTTACTGCAGTACGCCCTTTCGCCTCCTTGAATTGACGCTCCGGTAGCTTGGTTGGTCCTTCCTGCACGAGTAGCGTTCCCCAACTGACTAGCCCGCTGGCGGCGACAAACTAATTGCGCGTCTATCGCTTTCTATGGCGCGCCATTTCAAAACAAATTATGTCAATTGCTCAAATGTTACACAGCTTCCTTCTAAGCCTGAACGTCCCGTTCAGAATCAGCTGACACAAATCACTACAAACATTAGCAATTGCTACTTAATTATGCACAAAGAAAATTAGCAGGGCAAAATTAGTAACACTAAAAACTTATTTATTCAAAATGATCGGCTTCTAATCACAACATGGCGACGTCTCTAAATTATCTCACTTTTTCGCCATCAATAATTTAAGTAGACTAACATCAAGTGCCCCATGTCGCCTCATAGTGTCTCATAACTTAGGACACTGTTTCCTCATAAATTTAGTTTATCAAAACGTTATATAAACGAGGCAAGTCTCTGACTAACAATTTTTAGGGAACAATCTATTCTACAAAAACATTTCTTTTCTTTTTAACTAGTAACTTCAACAAAACAAGTGGAAATTGCAGATCTGCAAATATCTGGTAGGGTTGGCCTTGAAGACTATTTCTTCTCGAATAGCTGGTCAAAGTTGACTTCGTAGATTCGCTCTACCCGGGTTTCGCTGACTTTGGTTCCATCCTGGAAGGTTGTCTGAGTGCTAATTTCTGTAACTCTGGTGACGTGACCTCGGAGGACATCTTGTAGGGCCATTGGTTCTACCGGCCGGAACTGCGGTTCTCTTGGTTCCGCGTTGGGGCGTGACTCGGTTTCCGACGAGTCCTCGGGATGGCTGCTGGCTTCATCCTCTGCTTTTTCCTGGCGCATCCTCTCTAACAATGCCAGGGGTTTGCCACTTGTCCTAGGTGGCCCACGAGGAGTCGCTGTTTCCTCTATCACCAGCGACAAAGAAGCAGGTGACAATGAGATTTCTGCAGGGGCACTGGACGATTGGGGGCATGTCAGATTCAAGGGTTCCTCCTGGACGTGCCTAAAGTCCCCGACGGTGCAAGGAGATTCCACTGGCGTGTCAGCCACTCTCCTTCGCTTCACCTCCGTGTGCGGTTGCTCCTCTGGGCACTTGCTGCAAGCCGCCGGTGCTCTCGCCCGTTTCTCCTTTCGCAGCATCTCTCCCACCTCTTCCCAACTGGTGGCATCTCCAAGATCGCGTTCGGCCTGTGCGCTGCTAACCCTCTTTGGTGGGTTACGCGTGATGTGTTGTCCCTCCTGATGTTGTCTCTTTGTGTTTGCGGTCCTTCCTTTCTGTTTCCGTCTCCAGCAAGATTGATTCCACTTCAGTAAGTTGATTTGGATGTTCCTGACGGTAGTGCCTCCTCATGTTATCTTTCCTGTTGCAATAGAAGTCGCATTGCAAACACCAGCAATACAACTTTGGACCATGCGCTATCTGCATGTGTCGGTAGAGGCTCCTCCTCTGGTTGAACTTCTCCTCACACTCCTCACAGGCAAAGGTTCTCTTCTCCTGCCGTCTGGGCTTCTCCATTGTTCGACTGCAATGGGGAAAACACACAAAAACACAAAATAAGTTGCAATCAAATATAAACACTATAGTTCTGCTTTCTCCATGCAGCTATTAACAGTCCTTATTCTTTTTCTCCCTCTCTCTCTCTCTCTTGGCAATCCTATCGGAAACGGCAAGGTAACTTCCGTATCCTAGCCGGGTTACGTCTCGGAAGCACTGTGCCGTTGTTCTGGTCACTATCCTCCATCACTGGTGGTTCAGGGGCCAAGTTGTTGGAAGCTTCGGAGCTTCCTTCTAAGTTTCCACCCCCAATGGAATCCTGAACTGGAGTCACCTCTGGTTTATCTCGATTATTAGCCTCATGCAACGGTACTGCCTGGTCATCATGGGTCACGCCTTCATTTGCTACCTCCTTCCTTGGGCGGTGCTCCCAGGGTTGTAGTTGTGGACCCTGGTAGGGTTTCAGTCGATCAAAGTGCACTACTTGCATCTTTCCCCTAGGCTTCTTCTGGATCCTGTAAGTAACGTCCGACAATTTCGTGAGTATCAGATATGGGCCTTCCCAACGAGATGTTAGCTTGGGGGAAACTCCCTTCTTCTTAGCATGGACGTACAACCATGCAAATTGGCCTTCCTCGAGACCAGTTCCTGCCGTTCTCTTATCGTATGTCTTCTTCTGATGTCTCGCGCTGGTCCCAAGCTTCTGCCTCGCCCGGTCGTGGGCAGTTTGCATTTGATGGCGTAGGTTTTCCCCATAGTCCGTATTGGGACCCCTGCCCTCCACTGCAATCGTTTGCGTGGTAAGGTCAACTGGCAGCCTGACTTCTCTTCCAAGCATGAGCATATTAGGAGTCTCTCCTGTTGACTCCTGGGGAACAGACCGGTACGCACATGTAGCAAACGCCAACTGTTTATCCCAATCCTTTTGGTGCTTGGTAGGGTCTATCATCATTGAAACAGTGTTTAGTAAGGTCCGATTAAATCGCTCCACAAGCCCGTCAGATTTCGGGTTGTAGGCCACCGTTCGAGTTTTCTCAATTCCAAGGATCTTGCACATCTCTGCAAATACTTCTGATTCAAAATTCCTTCCTTGGTCTGAGTGAAGTTCGCGCGGAACTCCGAATCTGCACACAAAATTCTCCACGAAGGCCTTTGCCACTGTCTCCGCAGTGCTGTCCGGAAGGGCATATGACTCCATCCATTTTGTGAAGTATTCCCCTATTACGAGGATCCACTTGTTTCCGCTTTCACTCTCCGGTAATGGTCCAACGAGGTCCAAAGCAACCCTGTCCATGGGCATGTCCACCTGGTGTTGTTGAAGAGGTGCCCGCCTTTTCCTGGGCGGGGATTTCCGCTGGGCGCACCTCAAGCATCTTCGGCAAAATGACCTTACGTCCGCCGCCATCCCAGCCCAATAATATCTGGTCCTCACTTTCGCCAGTGTACGCTCCACCCCAAAGTGTCCACTGGTCACACCTGCGTGTAGCTCCTCCAGGACAACCTCCCTGTATTCTCGTGGCAAGATCACCTTCCACTCAATATCTCGCCCATCATGCGACTCCCAACGTCGGCACAGCACTGAGTCCCTTATTTCCAACCGTTCCCATTGCCCCAAGTATATCTTGCCCACTATGCCTCGTGCTTGAGCATAGCTCCAGTCCGGACGTTCTTCTGATCCTGTCTTGCAGTTAACAATCCCGCAAAGTGTGGGGTCCCGGAGCTGGGCCTCGGCGATATCCTTCAATGTTATGGTTGGTTCCATTTGCAACAACCTGGTCACCATTTTCTCCTCTCGTACTACACTGTCTTCACCTGACAGAACGTCAGTTACTTCAGCTTTGGCTCCAACCTCTGTCTTAACATCATCCGCCAGGCCACACTGACTACAAGGCTTGCGCGACAAACCGTCCGCATTGCCATGTTTCTTGCCTGGGCGGTGAATGATCTCATAGTTGTACTCTCCAATCACTTGTAGCCAGCGGGCTACCTGTCCTTCCGGGTCTTTGAAGTTGACCAGCCAGCGTAATGCGGCATGATCAGTACGGATGGTAATCTTTCTCCCATACAAGTACTGTTTAAAGTGCTTGAGGTAAAAGACGACTGCCAAAAGCTCTCGGCGAGTCACACAGTAGTTTCTTTCAGGACGGGAAAGAGTCCTACTCGCATAAGCGATTACCCGTTCTTCTCCTTCTTGTATCTGTGACAGGACTGCTCCGATGCTTTCCCCGCTGGCGTCCGTGTCCAGTACAAAGTCACCTGTTGGGTCCGGGTATGCCAAGATGGGCGCCTCCTGTGAGTGATTCTTCAGAGTCACGAATGCCACCTCACAGCTATCATCCCAAAGGAATTCCCTTGACTTCTCTGTGAGCCGGTGGAGTGGGCGAGCCACGTCTGCAAATCCCTTAATAAATCTGCGATAGTAGGAGGCCAGTCCTAAGAAACTTCGCACTCCTTTCACATCTGTCGGGGTAGGCCATGATTTAACAGCCTCAATTTTGTCCGGGTCAGTGGAAACTCCGGCTGGCGAAACCACATGTCCCAGATATTTCACGGTCTCCTTGAAGAGAAAGCACTTTTTCGGCTTTAACTTCAATCCAGCCAATCTAAATCTCTGCAGCACCTCGCGCAGGCGCTGTATCTCCTCCATGACGCTTCTCCCGTATACGATAACGTCATCGAGGTATACGAGTAAAGTCTCCCATTGTAGCCCGGATACGACCCTTTCCATCAGCCTTTCGAAGGTGGCAGGGGCATTGCACAAGCCGAAGGGCATGACCCTCCAGCTGTACAAGCCCCCGCGCACCACGAAGGCTGACTTTTGCTTCGCATCCTCATCGAGCTCGATCTGCCAGTAGCCAGATGCAAGGTCTAAGGTGGAAAACCACCTCGCACCTGACAGTGCATCCAGGGTGTCGTCGATGCGAGGAACTGGGTACGCATCCTTAATAGTTGTCTCGTTAAGTCCCCGATAGTCGACACAGAAGCGTTGGCTTCCATCTTTCTTCCTTACTAGCACCACATTTGAGGCCCAGGGGCTGTCTGATGGCGTAATCAGTCCCCTCTTCAACAAGTCCTGCACCTGTCGGTCAATCTCCTGTTGCTTGCACAATGGCTGCCGGCGGGGCCTCTGCCTGACAGGTCGTGTTTCTCCCGTGTCGATATGGTGCTTCACCCAATCATTTCTCCCAATGTCATGATCGCCCTCCGAAAATACATCCGCAAAATCAGTGAGCAGCCGAGCCACTGCGTAGTGATAACAGGGATCCAGATTCTCCACACTGCGTTTCCAGAGATCCTCAAGGTGGCCGGGGACATGTACATCCTTGTTTTCATCTCCGGGTTCAACTGCATGTGCCTGCAGCACATCTCTCTCTACCACCGGTGTGAGGCGTCCGGCTGTCGTGCCCGACCGAACCATACACTCTCGGCTGCCCGGATTAAGCAACCGCAAGGCAAGTACTCCCTCCTTAGGATCTACCAACGTTCTTGCAAGAATCAAGCCTTTTTGCGCCAACTCACCACCTCCTTCAATCGGTTCTATAATCCCCAGGTCACCTGATTCGAAATCACGGGTCACTCTTCCTTGAACAAGAGCTTCGTGTCCGGGCGGAATGACAGTCGTTTCTGCCACAACCACCCTGACATGCAAGGTAGTTCCCCATCTAGTTGTGCACCGTATGTGTTCTCCGTGAAGCAAAAGTTCACACTTGTTGAAATCCAGTGTCCCTCCGGTTGGGAGCAGAAAGTCCATCCCGAGTATGCCTTTGGTTTTGACTTTGGCAATGACTGCCCGTACTGGGCACGCTGTCCTTCCAATACGCAAGTCCATGTTTGCCACACCTACTGTTTCCATGACACTACCATCTGCCTGCACGACTCGGATGCCATCCTGCTCCAACGGTGGGCGTCTCTCTGTCGGTATCTGATAGTAAATCTCCTTCGAGATTATTGTGTCCGTCGTCCCGGTATCCACCAAGAACGGGATAGTGACTGACCGAAACTCTCCTTGTACGTAAAGTCCCTGCTTTGGAACAACCAATGGTGCAAATATTTCTCTTTTGTCGTCAGGGTTGAGATGAGTTTTGTCCTGTTGAACTTCTGAGCCCATTGTCGGTTGACCCTTCTGTTCACCCAGCCTTCTCTTGGGTCGCAGAGTCGGCTGGCGGCCGTTTCCCGAGCGCCTCCGTGCAGGGGAAGTTGGGTTTGGGCAATCCTTTGCAAAATGTCCATTTCCTTGGCACCCGTAACACCTGTCATCCGGGTTGGCTATCCTACGCGGTCTCGGGTGGTATACGCCTGTGTCTCTTCTCTTTTCAGGCTGAGGTGACTTTTCCTCAGTTGCTTGCTCGTCTCTCATATTGCTGTAGTATTGCTTTAGATGGTCGACTACATCAGCTATGATGGTGTCCCGGTACTCCTCCTCATCTCGCCCCATGCGGCATTTCTTGTCCTTTTTTCCACATCGTTGTTCCTCAATCCGTTCAAAATTCTCCGTCGCCAGCGCCGCACGAACGGCGTCATTCAGAGAAGACGGCCTTGACCGGAAAACTCCCTCCCGAATGCTCTGGCTGGCGATTGCGTCTGAAAAATGCCCACGAGCCAATCTATCCCTACTGTCTTCCGTCAACTCCGGATATGATAGGGTAGCCAACTCGCGGACTGCTTCTCCAAGTTCCTGTAAAGTCTCCTTTGGGCCTTGGCGACGGTTTCTCAGTTCCATAAGGAAGTTCTCAGCCATCTGCCCCGGCCCAAAACGTGTATCGAGTAGTCCAATTAGTTCAGTATACTTGTATCGCCGGGCTTGTCCTTCCCCTTGGCGATTAGTCAAAATTTTCACAGCGGATCCTTGCAAACTTGCGGCCAGGAACGCTGCAGCTTCCTCATCATCCCAGCCATTTACTCGCCTACAAGACTCGAAGTGTTCCCTGTAATCTATCCAGGGCTGTTTTCCGCTGAATCGATCCGGAACAATATTAGGTCGTTTGGCTTTTCCTCCAAGTCGGTCCTGCCACTCTTGTGACGATTGAATCCGCTCCTCTCTCTTCAATGGCCACGGGGTGCTAGGAGAGGTTGGCCTGCCCTCCTTCGCATCACCGTGTTTGTCGTTTGTGGGGGTGGCGCCTCCACTCTCTGGAGTGCCCTCCACCGGAGGCGTTATAGCTCCTCCACGATCAGTAGTCGGATGTGTCTGTGCCGTCGACTGTGGTTGTGGCAAGTATGTTTTATTCTTCATCATCGTTCTCATCGGTGTAGATGTGTTCCGGCCTGTCTCCGTACCGGTTCGCTGCATCTGTTTTACGCGCCCAAACATGGAACCATAACCAGAGGTCTCCATGTCACGCGTTAAGTCATACTTAAATTCGATTTCCTTGTCATCCCTCTCGGGCCTCCTGTGTATCCACCCACGTTGGTGGTGTTCTTCTTCCGGAGACCCCGGGGATTGAGACAAAAATTGCCCCAACCGGGTCTCGGCACGTTCCTTTTCTCTCATCGAGTTTGCCAACTGATCCTCTTTCAGTTGGACTTCCATACGCAGTAGGTTAATTTCCTCCTGCAACATCGGCACAGGTCGCTCGCCTGTGAGGGTACCTGTGCTTTCTCTCTGTTTCCTGCTCATCTCGTCCGAGCACTTGGCCTTGGCCATTCAGTGTCAGCGTCCTGAGATATATCCCTCCAAGTCCTCCGCAAAAATCGGAGTGTCCAACTTTGTCTAATCACTCGCAACACTTGATCAACTCCAAATTTGATTATGCAATCAAGATTAGTTATCAGTCTGTTTACACGTACGCTCGTAAAGAGGTCAGTGCACACACACAAAATGTTCCAAGCGTCCAGTAATAAGCTGAGCATACAAATCCCACCGCTGCCACCATTTGTGGCGGATTTTACTATTGCCAGGTCGGTTGTCCTCGGCGAACACTCGCGGGTAAGGCGAGTAACCCTAACAGCGCCGAGGTGCAGGTCCGTTCGGTTGGAAATATACCACCACGTATACTCAGTCTACTCACTGATCGCTGACTTCCAGACAGACAATACAGACTGTCAAACATGTACAAATGACTGTGACGCAATGACAAAAGAAAGAAGGTTTCACTGATTTATTTAATTAGATCAATTATTATGATTAGAGTGATTTGCTTGAATACGCCCTAAATAGCGCCTCAAGTGATTGCTATGGCGCCTCTAGTGAGTGTATAGCGCCTCCCGTGAGTGTATAGCGCCTCCGCCGCCACTAGTTTGCACTTATCCACCACGCAAGTGCCGCATTTATGCACTTTAAATGTCGCGCACAGTTGTTCCCTCAGCAACGCCTCCCGTCTCCTCGGGCCTCAAAGGGGTAGGCTCCTCGTGAGCCTGGTTTATATGGAGCGTGTAACTCCTCGATGAGTCCTAACGCCTCCAGCGGTACCTACAGCAGCCCTGCGCCTCAGTGCTCGGACCGACGCCTCAGTAGATGTACGCTCGCTAGCGTACGTCGTCCCTCGAGGCGTCTGGCCAACAGTCGCGCCTATGGCTCCGCTATATGCCCCACGCTAAAGGTAGGTAGGCACATATACTTACTGCAGTACGCCCTTTCGCCTCCTTGAATTGACGCTCCGGTAGCTTGGTTGGTCCTTCCCGCACGAGTAGCGTTCCCCAACTGACTAGCCCGCTGGCGGCGACAAACTAATTGCTCGTCTATCGCTTTCTATGGCGCGCCATTTCAAGCAAATTATGTCAATTGCTCAAATGTTACAATATCAACGGCATCAGCACTGACATCACGGTCAACGGCAGGAAGCTTCACACTGTCCAAAGTTTTAAGTACCTGGGAGCTGTTGTGAGTGACCAAGGGTCTAAACCAGAAATATGCTCCAGGATCGCGCAGACAATGGCAGTGCTGACAAAATTGAAGCCCGTTTCGAATGACAGGAACATCATGCTCAGCTCAAAAATCAGACTGATGTACTTGTTGCTCGACAAACCATCCTTGTATTTATCGAAAAGGATTCGCTTGACTGCCCAAAGTGTCTTCCTGTTGGCCTTTTCCTTGGCCAGATCTTGACTCATATCCCCGTCGATGTACTTTTCATATTTTTCACTCCACATCTCATCGGTGGCTTCTATAGACTCCTTCAACCAGTCTCGATATGCGGTGTTGTCAGAAGTAGACTCATCTTATCCATTAACTCGCTAAAAGTTTCTGCGACAAAATATTTTAGGCGTTTTTTTGAAAAAAAAAATCAAACTTCTAAAATTATTTGGTGAAAAATAGATGAGTTGATGGTCACCACAAACTGATCAAATGTTTTCCATCAAAACCAATACTTATGGAGTCCGGCCTCTTCTGGGGCACCAATAAATGCCAGGAAAAATTATTTCAGTGACAAAAAAACACAATGATTGACCAACAAAAAGTGCCCTCTCCATTATACCAAGGAGGAACGTACCTTTCATGTGGTAAAATGTGTTGCTGCAGCATTCTGAACTAGTTGAAGCTTAACTAAATGTGAATTTGGTAAGCCATAATATAAGCCGTTGCAATAGTCAAGGTGACTGGTTATGAAAGCATGCACTAAAGTAATCAATGCATCTCTTGACAAGTATTTCCTAATTCTTCTGATATTGTGAAGTGATAAAAAGTAGTGGAACATGTGGTAGTAATCTGCTTATGCATACTCAATTTTGAGTCGAACCAGCAACCTAAGTTACGAACTTGTAATGAAGGTGATATAGTACAGTCTCCCACATTGATACCAGATATAGTCGGTTTAGATAATTGCTGTCGACTACCAATATTGATAAATTCGGTTTGGCATCATTTATCATAAGTTTATCTTGTAGCATCCGTAGTGACGTATATCCCTTACACAGTTTTCCATGGCAGTCACCGCCTGCTCTTGGTTGTCTGAACTACAAGGTTTAAATGAAAAGTATAATTAGGTGTCGTCCGCATAGCAGTAAGTGTTAGGAAGATGTTGTTCTATTATATCGAATAGTTTAGATGAATAAATACTAAACAGGAATGGTCCCAAACATGATCCCTGTGGGACTCCACAATTCAAGTTGAACTTATCAGACAAATCTCCATCCAATGAAACACGTTTACTCCTACCGGATAAAAAGAATTAAACCAGTTTAAAGCTGCACTAGATATTCCAATTTTAGACTTAAGGCGGTTCAGTTAGATTTTGTGATCAACCGTGTCAAAAGCAGTGCTAAGATCTAAGAGTACAAGTAAAGTAGCATGTTGAGTATTCATCTTCATTAAAATATTATTCCTCACTTTCAGTAAGGCAGATTTGGTATTATGATTTTTCTGTAGGCTGACTGAAGTAGTGGATACAATGAGTTAACAGTTATATGGTCATGGATTTGTTCATACACAGCTCTTTCAGCTAACTTTGATATATACTAGAGATTACTAATAGGCCGAAAAGTCTGTAAGTTTGTGGAATCTAGATTGTCTTTTTTCAATATAGGACGAACAAGGGTTTCCTTCCAATCAGTTGCGAATATGCCTGTTTCTAAAGACAAATTGATGATCCTAGTAATAACAGGCACAAGAACATCCAAACGATCGACAACCAACTAAGTAGGCATAGGGTCCAAAGAATAAGACTTTAGCCTTTATCAATGAGAGCTCGCACATTATGCTCAGTGAGTGGTGAGAATTGGTCAAGTGTTATATGTGTTTGCCCAGGTGTGAAAGAATCATTCAAGTTGTTATCAGCCACATAGTGTAAGGTACAAGAATCAAGCTTTGCATGAATGTCAGTTATCTTCTGAATGAAGAACCGGCCAATGGCATTTGCCAAATAACAGGGAGTGTTCGAGTTAAATGTAACAATATTAGCTTGTGGTTTCAAAAGCTTATTTACAGCGTTAAAAAAGCTTTCTAGAATTACAACTGTTCTCCTCAATAAAATTAGTACAAAATTCTTGACGAGCTTTGTTCATTAGGTAAGTGGTATGGTTTCTGTGTATCTTATAAGTCTCCAGATCCACAATATTACCAGTATTTAACCATTTCTTCTCTGCCTTTCAAGGCAATCTCTTGGCAGTTTTAAAGTCGGGATTAAACCAAGCTACAAGTGGTCTAACTGTGTTGTTCTTAGTCTGAAGAGGAGCTTGACAATTAAATAGATTCGAAAGAGTTTGGTTTTAACAATGCACTAGTTCATCCAAGTCCCCTTTTTGGTTTGAACACACAAGTGTATTGACAACAGATTTATTGTTCACAGATTTAGTTTTCCTGAAAGTCACATGACTGACTGGTAATGCAGGTTTACCTATTTTCAAGTTATACAAAACCCAAAATGGATCTAAAAACAAATAGTCAGAGATTTGTAGATCATCTACTTTATCGTCACAGCCACGTGTGATGACAAAATCCTTATGTGTCCTTTTTTCATGGGTTGGTTGTTTGACGTGCTGTTGTAGATCCATTGTCTCAAATAGCTCCGGTAGTTGAACTACATCAGAGATACGTCCACATGTGTGTTAAAATCTCCGGTGATGAGAAGTGGTTCAAAAGCCAATACAATGGATTCAAGATAGGTACTGAATTCGGCTAAAAAAACAATACTGTACGTTTGGGGTTGACTTTACCGGGCTTGCCGTGTCTTGAAGGTTCATGAATTTCATAATCCATTGCAGCCTCATCATCTCTCATGATTCTACCAGGACCCGAAGTGTTGGCTTCACCGGACACAAATGTAACTCTTACTTGCATAGTGGCCGGGGACGCAGTTCATCATGATCTAACGCTCAAATGGCTCTTTGAGGATGAAGTCCGGGGCTTATGCCATTTTTCAAGTGGGGAGTTCCCTGAGCCCTTTACGGGACATGGAGCCTTTGAGAGGCAGTGCAACCTGACAGTCGGGCCAGTGGACAGGTCGTCCGTGGGTATCTACAAGTGCCAGTATTTTGACGGGGAGCAAGCAGTCTCCCAAAACCTAATATTCATGATCGGTAAGTGACCACAGTATATTCAATTTGCAGGTGTGCTGAGGGAGATAGTCACTGGATTGTGCATTCAATGCGGCTTGTTAAACTAATTGTTTTTGCTTTTTAACCCTCAAAGGGCCCCTAAAAGAAAATTAAGTTTTAAACAGTAATGGAAATCAAGTTTTAAAAATATGCAAGTTCAGAGTGGATTACAAAATGGTGGAGCTGCTAAGCGAACATTTGTGCACTTTGTTGTAAAAGCATGAAATTTGGCAAAATGTGCTAGAAATCATTTTAAGATCGGGACCCATCCTGGGTTTTGCCCATTTTGAGGGCGGAGCTTGATTTTTTTTAAAAGGGGGTGCAAACAATAAAAACTCATAAAAACTGTATTTTACATCCATTTTCCTTGTTTTTCTATGTTTTGAAATAAACTTAAACATAAAATAAGACATTCTAGCGTCCTAGCACCTGTTATTTTCGACCCATTTTTTGGGCGTGGCCTTAATGTGTAAAAGAGGCAGTATATATAAGCAGTTTGGTTCAAATATGGGAAATACCATTCAGTTTGGTGATAAAATCTTGAAAATTGGCATGTTTAATTGAAATGGGCTGAAAATAATTTTAAGAGGTGGACCCATCTTGGATCTTGCCCATTTTTGGGGCGGAGCTCGATCGGTTAAAAAGGGGAGTGCAAACAAATAAAAACTGTATTTATTATCCATTTTCCTTTGTTCTTCATACTATGAAATAAACATGATACAAAAAAGTTCTAAAATTCTAACACTTTTTTTTACCCTTTTGTGGGCGTGGCCTAAAAATGTAAAGATGCGGTACATTAGAGGAGCTTGATTCAAACGAGGGAAAATCATCACTTTTGCTGGTGAAAACACAACTTCTGCTAACTATGTTTTACCATACATAGTAAATATAAATTTAAAAGGTTGCAAGGATTTTGCCCTTTTGGGGGGGGGTGGGAGAGCTACATTTTAAAGTAGGGGGTTGAATATTCTAGAAGATTAGATATTTCATATCTAAATTACTGTGATTGGCTACAAATAACATAGGTTACAGCAGCGGCATTTCCTAGTATTGTAAACACTACCGGAATCACGGGGGCGGGGGGGGGGGGGGTTCAGGGCGGCCCAACAGTGGACTTCACCTATTCTTGAAATGGCTTCTATATGGGCATGTAAACTTGAAAATGTTGAAAATATGCGTATGAGTATACATCAATTCCTTGCAATGTGTACTGCTGGATTTATTTCAGATGGATGTTTGGACTTGGGGAGTAATATCTTTATGTTTGAAAAGGTGGGATTAATATTTTTGAGAAATCATGTAGCTTCTTAAAAAGTGCGCTTGCACTTTGATAAATAATCGGGCAAAATTGCAGTGGACGTCCCCGTCCCAAAATATAAAAACTACACCAATGTATAAATGTATGTATTGGAAGCACAGTCTGCTTATGTCACAGCAGCAACAATGTAGCTGATAACATTATTTGTGCCACGAACATTGTCACCTGATACGGATTAATACAAGTGATCTGCGGATCGCATGTGTCGCCTATATATTTTGTGTTCTTAAAAAGAAATGTTCTTGAAATTTTGTGCATTTTTAAACAACGACCTCAAATTACCCCTAGATGACTTTTGACCTCCAATTTTGGAAGAGTTGTGATGAACCCCCACTCAAGGATCACTCCGTGCAAGTCACATTAAAATCCATCAAATTCTGTAGACAAAGAAATATTTGAAGCATATTTGAACAATGACCTCTAATAAGCCCTCGATGACCTTTGATCTCAGTAATTCCATGAAAAATTCTGTCTTCTCATGCACCCAAGGGTCACTGCATCTAAGTTTCATCAAAATCCATGAAAGCATGTAGAAATAAGCTTTCCCCAAAAACTGTGAATTGCATCATTATTAACCTCATTTGACCGTTGACATATGACCTTTGACCTGAAATATATCCCACATTATTTTTGCTACACAATGACCCTTGTGTCCAAGTTTTATGGAATTTGGGCGAATATTTAGGAAATGAGAGAAATTCCAAAACTTTAACATACATACGTGGCTATAAGGGTCTACGGGTCTCATCATTTTCTAATTCTCCCTATGACAACTTCCGGTTTGATGACGCCACGATCCTAAAACCTCACAAAGTCATAATTTTACGTTTTTCCATAGAATATCCAAGGGTTAGTTTGGTAACATTTTGATGAATGGTTTTTAAATTGAAAATGGGGGCTCTTTCAGGCGATGAAATCACCATGCATTTTTTTTGTAAGCCCTGTATTAAAGTAAAGGTGATTACAAAATATCAACATGAGTTTCATTTTGTTCAAGACTTCGTTCAAGCGATGGCCACTTTTGAAGATGTTGGATCAGGGTTGATCTTTGTTCAAAGTTTCATGTTTATTATACAAGGTACTGTTTAGAAAAGACGCAGAGCATCATCTAGAAAAACAAAAGGAAACAAAGGGCAGAAGAAAAATTGTTACCATTTCAAAATTGTAATTGGGTTGTACCCATAGAGCTGTATTAAATCACCAGAGCGCTAACTCCTCACTTTTATGCGCAGAAAAGCTTAGAAGCCGTTCCTGGCGCAGACAATTTTGAATTCATGTGGGTGTTTGTAAAACAAAATGAAATTTCGAAAGGGCACTCTAAATGTGTTATTTACCAAAATGACATCATATAAAGTATTGGCCATCAACCATCAATTACCACCTTTTACCATGGACTACACGCCGACACCTACATATGATCAACACAAAAGAATGCCCCCCAGAAGAAGTTCCTACCTTCCTACCCTATTTTCAAATGCCATGTAATCGGAAGCAGAACTATGTTTTGGCCTAGGCTGTATGTACCAGTACATTTAAGGACATGAAACCACTTTGAGTAAGTATACCCAGTAGAATGATCTTTCTATGCACATATTCAGCCCTCTACTTTAAAATGTAGTTCCACCCCTAAAAGGGCAAAATCCTTGCAACCTTTTAAACTTATCTTTACAGTGTATGGCAAACATAGTTAACCAATGCAGAATTTGTGTTATACCAGCAAAAGTGATGATTTTCCCTCGTTTGAATGAAGCTGCTCTAATGTGCGGCCTCCTTTTCATATTTAGGCCACACCCCAAAAAGGGTAAAAAATAACAAGTGTTAGAATGTTGAATTTTTTTTATCATGTCTCTGTTTATTTAAAAGCATGAAGAACAAAGGAAAATGGATGTTAAATACAGTTTTTCTGAATGTTTATTTGTTTGCACTTCCCTTTTTAACTGATCAAACTCCGCCCCAAAAATGGGCAAGATCCAAGATGGGTCCACCTCCTCAAATAATTTTCAGCCCATTTCAACTAAACATGCACATTTTCAGGATTTAACCACCAAACTGAACGATATTCTTCATATATATTTGAACCAAACTACTAATATACATTGTAAATACCGCCTCTTTTACACATTTAGGCCACGCCCACAAAATGGGTGGAAACTAACAGGTGTTAACAAGCTAGAATGTCTTATTTTATGTTTAAGCTTACTTCAAACGCATAGAAAAAACAAGGGAAATGGATGTTAAATACAGTTTTTATGAGTTTTTATTGTCTTCACCCCCTTTTTCAATCTTAAAATGATTTCTAGCCCATTTTGACCTAACATTCCAAATGTCATGCTTTTACCACAAAGTGCACGATTTTGGGCAACAATTTACCTAAGCAGCTCCAGCGAGATCTGGATGTCCTTCGCTACAAATTGGGTATAAAGTGCTAAAAACAAACCATGCGGCCACTGTCGAAATTTAAATGTGGCCCTGTGTTTGTTGTCAAAGTTTCTTCGGACAAAAGAAAAAACATGCAGTTTTAAATTTTAGAAAAGGAAATTCACGTGAACAAGCTTGCTATAACTGCGATAATTTTCGGGGATTGCGAACTAAGTTAGGGATATAAATTTTATATTAACGTCACAACCACTGATTGAAATTGAGGCTATTTGACAAAAAGTATCGTCTTTATACACTATTCAGATATAAACGAATGCGATGATGAATCGACGAACGATTGCGATGCCAACGCTGACTGTGTGGATTTGGATGATGGTTACGATTGCATTTGCAAGGACGGATTCAATGTGGACGAGGCTACAGGGAGTTGCCAAAGTAACTTTAGTTTGTTTTTGTATTTTCCCGCCAACTCAACTCTTTTCGTGAACTACGCGTTTAGTGGTTTAAAGTGTACTCTATATTGTATATAGAAGAGGATTTTGTTTCGTTCATTGTAGCTCCCAAAAAAATTACTTCAAGTTTTATGATTTTCTTGCAAGGTGATGACTCCGAAAGATGTAACATTGACAGTTGAAACATTGTTACATAACAAATTCTTCGATTATATAGACTTGACAATGATGAAGATTTCACCACGTGACCAATTGAAAATGTCACTACACGAGCAGCATCTCGTGCTGGCTGTCACTTGTGACTGATTGTAGATTGGTGAAGACAGCCGAACAGTAGCATCGTATAGGATAACCCCTCGTAAAACATTCATGAAAGGGATCCGGTAAATAGTCATTCTGGATCATTGAAAAACAAGTGCAAGTGGGCAATAAGCTCTGGTGAAAAAAATGCGACGCCTATGGCACATATGGAACACAAAACTTTTGATCAATATCCAGACAGACAGACAGACAGACAGACAGACAAACAGACCATCCGACCAACCGACCACCAAGTGACATGTATAAGCTCCTGCCAGAGCTTAAAAATGCACTTAAGGACTAACTGGACAACACAGTAAAAAAAAAAATGGCGGTTATAGAAATATTTTTTGTACTCACCGTTTTCCCAACATGTTTAATCTATAAAGCCGTTTAAATTATTTGCATAGCATGAAATTTCTGTCAGTGCTATCAGTGATAACCCTGAAGGTGTGCCTTTCTTTTTCAATTAAAATCAATTGCATTTATTGTCCATACCACATTTATTGTTCGTACGTGAACAAGCTCGCTATAACTGCGATAATTTTGTATTAATGTCACAACCACTGGTTGGAATAGAGGTTATTTGACAAAAAGTTCCATCTTCATACACTATTCAGGAATGAACGAATGCGATGATGACTCGACAAACGATTGCGATGCCAACGCTGACTGTGTGGATTTGGATGATGGTTACGATTGCATTTGCAAGGAGGGATTCAATTTGGACGAGGCTACAGGAAGTTGCCAAAGTAAATTTGTTCAGTTTGTTATGTATTTTCCCGTCCACGCGTTTACTGGTTTAAAGTGTCCTCTATATTGTATATAGAAGAGGATTTTGTTTCGTTCATATAACTCCAAGATTAATTTACTACACGTGTTATGATTTTCTTGCAATGTGATTACGCCGAAAGGTGTAACATTGGCAGTTGAAACATTGTTACATAACACATTCTTCGATTATATAGACTAGACAATGATGAAGATTTCACCACGTGACCAATTGACAATGTCACTACACGAGAAGCATCTCGTCTGACTGACTGACTGTCTTGCTGGCAGGATGACCGTTTGAGCCGAATTTTTGGCTAAATTTGGCAGAATCTTTCGTAACAATCCAGTTTGACAGAAAATTTGACAGAATGGATTTTTTGGGCAGATTTCTGACAGAATTCTTCAAAAATGGTCATTTTCACAGAAATACATAGCAAATTTGAAAAAAAAATGTTGCATTTGCTTAAAAAAGCTTCAATCTTTTCAAACAAACACTTGCATAATGGACAGGTTGCCTGGTGTAGGTGCTTAGCTTCACTTAGAACCGGGACTTAATCGCGGTACAATACCGCGTTTTATGCAATTTCATGACATCTTTATGTGACTATGAATTGTTTATAATGTAATTTGAACCTAAATTCAGACAATACTACAACATCTGCATGTGATTTTAAGTGTTAATAGTGTATTTCGAGTAATTCTTGGGAATTTGGCAGATTTTTGATAAATCTGACAGATTTTTGATGCGCATTTAGCAGAATTTGGGCATGACGTTACGGTCACCCTGCTTGCTGGCTGTCACTCTTGTGACTGATTGTAGATTGGTGAAGACAGCCAAACAGTAGCATCGTATAGGATTAATTCTAGTAAAACATGCATGAAAGGGATCCGGTGAATGTTTGTTCTGGATCATCGAAAAACAAGTGCGAGTGCACAATAAGCTCTGGCGAAAAAAAATGCGACGCCTATGGCGCATATGGAACGCCATATTTTTGAAAAATTTCAAGACAGACAGACAGACAGACCATCCGACCGACCGACCGTCCACCAAAAGACAAGTATAAGCTCCTGCCAGAGCTTAAAAATGCACTTTAGGACTAACTGGACAACACACTAAAAAAAAAATGCGGTTATAGAAATACTTTTTGTACTCACCATTTTCCCAACATGTTAAGTCTATAAAGCCGTTTAGATTATCTGAAAAGCATGACATTCTGTCAGTGATATCCCTGAACGTGTGCCTTTCTTTTTCAATTAGAAACCAACTGCATTTATTGTTCGTACGTGAACAAGATTGCTATAACTGCGATAATTTTCGGGGATCGCGAACAAAGTCGGGGATGTAAATTTTGTATTAATGTCACAACCAAGGGCGGATCCAGGGGGGGGGGCCAAAGGGGGCCATGCCCCCCCCCCCCAAAAAAAAAAACGAAACCATTTTTTTTGTTTTAATGTGACATCGCAATAAAGGCAGGCAATGAGTACACCACCATCTTTTCCTCAAAATAAATTGGTTAAAGTGGTCAGAAATGGCCTCAGATCGCACCACAGAGCATCTAGAATCCAATTTTTTTACGGGGCCCTTAAGCGGGCCCCGAACCCCACGCCGTAATTTTTAACCCACTTTTTTGGGGAACCAAATTTTTTCTTTTGCCCCCCCCCCCCAAAAAAAAAAATTGTGTTCTGGATCCGCCCTTGGTCACAACTACTGGTTGGAGAAGGGTCTATTTGACTAAAAAATATCGTCTTTATTCACTATTCAGGAATGAACGAATGTGATGATGACTCGACGAACGACTGCGATGCCAACGCTGACTGTGTGGATTTGGATGATGGTTACGATTGCATTTGCAAGGATGGATTCAAGGTGGATGAGGCTACAGGGAGTTGCCAAAGTAACAATTTTTTTTTTCAGTTTGTTATGCATTTTCCGTCAACTCCACTCTTTTGGTAAACTACCTGTTTAGTGGTTGGAAGTGTCCTCTTTATTGTATATAGAAGAGGATTTTGTTCCGTCCAAATAGCTCCAAGATTAATTTACTATATATTAAGTTGTTTGATATTCCTTGCTATGTGATTACTCCGAAAGTTGTAATATTAAGGGAATAAATGTGTGTTTAGGAGGTTTTAATCACTCTGATTAAGACCGCTGGGAGGGGGCGAGGGTAATTATCAGCTCACAGACTCCAAGCACATATTAATTCCCATTCATAAATACATTTTCTGTCACAAAAAAGCTCAAATGTTCTGTAAAAAAAACCGATTTGTTCAACAAGTTCACTTCATGTCTTTTTGCTAACACCCCTCTAGCTAAATAATGGAGTGTCCAGCTGGCGAGTAAGATGCATTGTAAACAACTCCTTTTATGGAGATTGGGCGCGCATCGCGCGTAGTGCGCGATGTCGCGACGAATGCACCTGCAGGGGTATAATTGCTTTGTGAATTTAGGAATATAAAATTCTGACTCACTGGTAGTATTGCGCATGCCTACGTGAGGATTGTGAACGTTCAACAAACCAATAAAACGGTAAGATGCCAATAAAACGGTAAAAGTGTTTAGGACCAGCTAGCCTTGTGTTTATCATTCATTTAAAAACCGAATACGTGACGGGCTCTCGATCAGTAGGAATGGGTAAACTGTCTTAGGTATTTATGAATAACTGTTGAAACATTGTTACATAACGAATTTGTCAGGTTATACAGACTTGATAATTATGAAGATTTTACCACCTCACCAATTGACTATGTCACTACACGAGAAGCATCTTGTGTGACTGACTCTCTGGCTGGCTGTCACTTGTGACAAGTGCGAGTGCACAATAAGCTCTGGCGAAAAAATGCGACGCCGATGGCACATATAAAACTTCATACTTTTGGTCGATTTTCGGGACAGACAGACAGCCAGACAGACAGACCATCCGACCGACAGGCTCCTGCAAGAGCTTAAAATGGACTTTTGGACTAACTGGAAAACACAGTAAAAAATGGTGGTATTAGAGAAACACTTTTTGTACTCACCATTTTCCCAACATTTTAAGTCTATAAAGCCGTTTAGATTATTTGCATTGCAAGAAATTCTGTTAGTGCTATCAGTGATAACCCTGAAGGTGTGCCTTTCTTTTTCAATTTGAAATCAACTGCATTTATTGTTTATACTGCATTTATTGTTCATACTGCATTTATTGTTCGTACGCGAACAAGCTTGCTATAACTGCAATAATTTTCGGGGATTGCAAACAAAGTTGGGGATGTAAATGTTGCATTAATGTCACAACAACTAATTGGAATAGAGGTTATTTGACAAAAAGTACCGTCTTTATACACTATTCAGGAATGAACGAATGCGATGATGACTCGACGAACGACTGCGATGCCAACGCTGACTGTGTGGATTTGGATGATGGTTACGATTGCATTTGCAAGGATGGATTCACTGTGGACGAGGCTACAGGGAGGTGCCAAAGTAAATAGTTGTAAATAGAAGAGGATTTTGTTTCGTTCATATAGCTCCAAGATTAGTTTACTATTAAGTTTTATATTTTTTCTTCCAATGTGATTACTCCGAAACGTGTGAAGTTGACAGATGAAACATTGTTAAATAACGAATTTTTCGATTATATAGACTTGACAATGATGAAGATTTCACCACGTGACCCATTGACAAAGTGACTACACGAGAAGCATCTCGTCTGACTGACTGACTGTATTGCTGGTTGTCACTTGTGACTGACTGTGACTGTGACTGACTGTCAATTGTATCTGACTGACTGACTGTCACCTGTGACTGATAGTAGATTGGTGAAGACAGCCAAGCAGAAACATCGTATAGGAGTACCCCTAATAAAACATGCGTGAAAGGGATCCAGTGAATAGTCATTCTGGATCAGTGAAAAAAAGGGCAAGTGTACAATAAGCTCTGGCGAAAAATGCAACGCCGATGGCACATATCGATTACCTCACTGTTGGTCTATTTTCGGGACAGACAGTCAGACGAGCCATCATGGTCCGACTGACCGACCAACCACCAAGGTACATGTATAAGCTCCTGCCCAAGCTTAAAAATGCACTTTCACTTTCGGACTTGGACAACACAAAAAAATGTTGGTTATAGAAAAACTTTTTCGAATATATTGACTTGAAAATGATGAAGATTGAACCACGTGACCAATTGACGATGTCACTAAACGAGAAGCATCTCGTCTGACTGACTGACTCTCTTGCTGGCTGTCACTTGTGACTGACTGTCATTTGTGACTGATTTTAGATCGGTGAAGACAACCGAGTATATAGTAGCATCGTTTAGGATTACCCCTAATAAAACATGCATAAAAGAGATCCGGTGAATAGTCATTCTGGATCATTGAAAAGCATGCGCAAGTGCACAATAAGCTCTGGCGACAAATGCGACGCCGATGACACTTAGGGATGACCATACTTTGGGTCGATTTCGCAACAGATAGACTGACAGACCATCCGACCGACCGACCGACCACCAAGTGACACGTATAAGCTCCTCCATGCCAAAGCTTAAAATCACGTGAACCAGTATGTGAACAAGCTTGCTATAACTGCGATAATTTTCGGGGATTGCGAACACAAATTGGGAAGTTGTATTAAGTGGTGCGGCATAGCCCCAATGTGCGAAAAGATTGTGAAAATTGTGATAAAAGCACAAAACTTCGCATGCTGGTTCTTCATGTCTTGAAGAAAATGTTCAGATATGCAGGCATTTCATATTTGACCTTCAGTAACCATTGAGAGGTCAATGCACTTTACATACTGCATTTATAACTTTTGTTCTTTAAACCTTCACTTTCCTATGACCCAAGTCTATGTTATAGGTCTTCATACATAGAAATAATGATCAGATGTAGGAACAATTCATATCTGACCTCTAGTGACCTTTGAGAGGTCAATGACCTTTGTAAACCTATTCATAGCTGTTTGTAAGATTTAATCTTTAAACACATCTTTTTTTCAAGATTCATGTTTAAATAAAAGGTGTTAATGCTATACAGAGAATTTTCATATATAGCACATTATATTCAACCTCTGGTGACCCTATTGTAAACCAATAGCCTACGTATGGATATTAACACGATTTACGCAATTGTAAATGCCACTTTTTTAATGACCCAACTCTAAAACTTTACTCTCTGTGCCATGAAAAGAATTCTCATATGTGGGGATGTCATATTTAACGTAGTGTTACCTTTGGAGAGGTAAATGAACTTTGTATGTCTTAGTTGCCGTTATTTATCATATTATTCGTCAAGACGCCATTTTTCGTGACCCGAGCCTCAATAGTGCCAACGAACGGTATTACACCTATTAGAGTAATATCATGTGATGAATTGAGACCCCACAAACAATTTTGAGGTGACCTCTCACCTCGATCGTTTCTCCTTGTTTTATAGGCAGACGCAATCTGATGAGATTGGAGCTTAAATTTGTTGGTCTGTCTTGTAATGGAAAATGTACACATGTCAAGCAATATTTACTCTTGGGTATTTATTACACCCCTGCTGTATCCAGATGTACCTGGATAACCACATTTTTAACCTTTTTATCAAGCCCAATGGTCACTGTTAGAGAGTTATATTCTTTCGGGTCTGCGTCTGCCCTTATAAAAAAGGACAAATGAGATCAGAGGTCATGCAAAAATTCTTCTTGACATGTTGTAGAATTATTATTAAAAAACAACACTTTTTTGCTTAAATTTGCAAGATTTAACATGATTAATAACGGCAATAGGAGTAAACAAAGTTGATTGCCCTCGTAAAGGTAATCAGAATTCAATTGTGAAATGTCTACATATCTGAAAATTAATATCATGCCAAGAAATTCCCAAAATTTAGATATGGGTAATAAAATAGTGGTGTTTTGAATAGTTAATCCTTTTATCATCTTTCAAAAGGGTGCCCAATGTTCATTGACCCCTTAAAGGTCAACAGAGGTCAGACATGAGATTCCCTTCATACGAAATTCTTTTCATAGCACGAGCAACTTAACATTATGACTTGGGTCTTGAAAACGTATGGGTTTAAATGGGTAAATCGTAAAGTGCAGTTATCATAAAGGTCATTGACCTCTGGAAGGTCATCAGAGGTCAATTGTGAGATTTTTCCGCATTTTGGTTGTTATTTACGATGTATGAAGACTTAGGTTTAGGTTGTATGATAGACTTAGGTTATACGAAAGTGATGTTTTCAAGAACGATAGGTATGAAAAGAGTATTCAAATGTCATTGACCATTTGAAGGTCACAACCATTGGTTGGAGTAAAGGTTATTTGACAAAAAGTACCGTCTTTATACAATGTTCAGGAATGAACGAATGCGATGATGAATCGAGGAACGATTGCGATGCCAACGCTGACTGTGTGGATTTGGTTGATGGTTACGATTGCATTTGCAAGGATGGATTTAAAGTGGACGAGGCTACAGGGAGTTGCCAAAGTAACTATTTTTCATTTTGTTGTGTATTGTCCCGTCAACTCCACTCTTTTCATGAACTACGCGTTAAGTGGTTTAAAGTGTCCTCTATAATGTATATAGAAGAGGATTTCTGTTCATTCATATAGCTCCAAGATTAGTTTACTTTGATTTTGAAAGTTGGGGATATAAATTTATATTGATGTCACATTAACTGGTTGGAGTAGAGGTTATTTGACAAAAGTTCCATCTTTATACACTATTCAGGAATGAACGAATGCGATGATGACTCGACGAACGACTGCAATGCCAACGCTGACTGTGTGGATTTGGATGATGGTTACGATTGCATTTGCAAGGATGGATTCAATGTGGACAAGGATACAGGGAGTTGCCAAAGTAACGGGTTTTTTTCAGTTTGTTGTGTATTTTCCCGTCAACTCCACTCTTTTTGTGAACCACGCGTTCAGTGGCTTAAAGTGTTTTCTACATTGTAAATAGAAGAGGATTTTGTTTCGTTCATGTAGCTCCAAGATTAGTATAATAGTAAGTTTTATGATTTTTCTTGCAATGTGATTTTTTTTTATTTACTCCGAAAGGTGAAACATTAACAGTTAAAAGACTGACTGTCACTTGTGACTGACTGTCACTTGTGACTGATTGTAGATTGGTGAAGACAGCCAAGCAGTAGCATCGTATAGGATTACCCCTAATAAAACATGCATTAAAGAAATCCGGTGAATAGTCATTCTGGATCATTGAAAAACAAGCGCGAGTGCATAATAAGCAACGCCGATGACACATATGGAACACCATACGTTTGGTCAATTTTCGGGACAGACAGACAGACAGACCATCCGACCGACCGACCGACCACCAAATGACATGTATAAGCTCCTGCCAAAGCATAAAATGCTCTTTCACTGTCGGACTAACTGGTCAACACATTAAATTAATGGTGGTTATAGAAACCCTTTTTGTACTCACGTTTATTTCCCATATGTTATAAAGCCGTTTAGATTATTTGCATTGCATGAAATGTTCTGTTAGAAGTGCTATCAGTGATAACTCTGAAGGTGTGCCTTTTCTTGTTTAGAAACCAACTGCATTTATTGTTCATACCCATCTGACAGAGAGTAACCTAGATGGGAGTATTGGTGTTAACAATGGAGTTGTAGCTGTATGCGCCTCCGTGGCCTTGTTGATCATAGCGGTAGTTGGGCTCACTGTCTTTGCTCGTCTGAGCGTCAAGAGAAATCGTGGACAGGCATCGGTGACCCAGAACGCAATGCTTAGCACGGAAGCAGCAGAGTCAGCGGTTGCAATGGTGAGTCTAGACTGGGGACTTCTCTGCAGCCCCGCCCACTGCGCACGTTGTCAACGCCGGCACACGTTGTTCTGACCAATCACAGCCGTCATTTATTTCCGACTCGCGTGCAAGAAATGTCCCACATGCGTGCACGCACGTATGGCGCGTGCTGCTGGAACATGTAGTAAAGCAATGCAGGAAGCACCAGTTAATCGCCAGAGTACGCAGTGGGCGGGACTTATTGGATCAGTGTGTTTCTCCAACATGTATATATAATATGGGTAGACTGGTTGCCTGACCCTACATTGTCATTTGGACTTCATATCTGGGACAGGTAGCTAAAAATTGCAAAAAAAAATGGTTTATTTTTTTTAATTCGTTCATTCACATTTATTTCCATTTCATAATTCTTAAAATACAAGTAAATATTGATCAACAACTTGATGTTTAATGAGTGGAAAGAATATCAAGCTTGTTTATGCCATTGAAATAGATTTGTCTATAGATCCCAATTCGATCAAAATATATTCATTCTCCCATACAACCTAAATCGGACGCACATTGCGTCCTTCTAATTTGCACAGTCCGTGCAATCAGACATCTTGCCCTGAATATTGAGCTCGTCTCCAAAAGCTGGGTAATTAATGATATTGAGAACTGATTTTTGCTGTTTACTTTTTTTTTGTACGATCCGATGTTTGGTGCTTTGAAGCCTTTGCTAAGATGTTGACCGTCTTGTTTTCCAGCTCGTATCATCATACGAAGACAGGATCGCACAGGCTGCGGCGGTCTCTTATGAAAGTATCAGACGACGAGATCTGGCATCAAAGGGTGGTGGTCTCCCAAGCTGGGCTAAACCGTGGGAGATCCTATGGAGTGATCTGTTGCTGGATGATGAGGTTCTGGGGAGAGGGAACTTTGGAGAAGTCAGATCGGGGGCCGTCAGAATTGGAGGCAAGGTGATTCGAGCGGCCATCAAAATGCTCAAAGGTAACATGAGTTACTCTCCAACAAAGCCAGGCAAGCCTGGTACTTTCCACAGCGAACGATTTTTTTTGTCCAATTGATTCAGAAAAGTTATTCACTTGGAATATTTTTCTTGCAATTAGATTTATACAATAAGACGTCTAGCCATAGACCTCTTAGGGTCTCCTATACGATAGCACTGCCTAGCTGACAAGTGACAGTCAGTGAGTCATTAAGTCAGTGCGCGAGATAGGGGAAAGGGAACGAGGCTGGCTCTCTGGGACCAGCAAAAATAGATGGAACTGTACAGCCCGAAGATCAATGTTTGTTCTCTAAATAGGGTGGATAGTCACTGGATCAAATGTGCTTTGGGGCAAAAATCCACTAAGATAATTTTTAGAGACTTCAATTTGCATAGCTTTAGGCTTGGATATTATCTTAAGTAACACTTCTCTCCCTGGCGAAACAAACTGAGGTGTAAGTATATGGAAGTGACTGGGCACGATGTGGACACCCTTTCTCAGAGAATTGGATTTTATTTTTCATTAATTAGAGCACTCGTCAAGTTCTGAAAAAGACGACTTTATGCAAGAGTTGAAGACCATGTCCTCTGTCGGCCATCATGTTAATATCGTTTGCCTCTTCGGGGCATGCAAGCATCAAGGTAATGCCACCACACATTTAATGTTCAATCTCCGAGCAAAAGCAACAGGCCTTTAGGTTAGCCTAAGAGGAAACATTTTATTGGCCACATAATGTAAAATGTCTCTTAAAGTTTAATATTTCTTGCAGGCTGCCGGGGTGTAATGTAAAATTTGGACTCTATTAAATCTGGAAGCGTTGTGCATGACTAAGTGGAGATAATTAATACGATAAAAGATCACGTGTGAGGGTTAGAATCCATATCAGGTAAAATAGACCAGATTCCATAAGAGTCCAAACTCCATAGGACACCGTACTGATCACAGCTTCACTGATTGTACAGAAGAATTAAGTAAACATAGGCTACTTTGTGTTTTTGTAACAATCATTTTTAAATTCTGTTTAGAAAATGTTGACTACTTTATCATCAACAGTGACTTGGTATCTGCAGATCTCAATAAACTTCACCTTTCATTTGTAAATCTCTAGTTAAATGATATTACTTTCTGGATAATGAAAGTGAAAATATGCTTTAACATTTTACATAAACAAATCATTGTTGCTTTGCTTATGAAACTGCTACATATTAAATACACATGTACATGATACTCTGTACACTTCCTCTTTGACCTCTCAATTATGCTAATACCTTACAAAGATGTGTTGTACGTCGCATTGGAATATCTTCCCTACGGCAATCTGCGAAGCTACCTGCGGACGGCTCGCTCACAGTCAGACTCAGACGAGGATGCCTTGTCTTCAGATCAGCTGGTCAAGTTTGCTCTGGATGTTGCCAAGGGAATGGAACACCTTGCTCAAGCGGGGGTAAGTCGATGTTCTGTTCCTGGTGCCTGGTGAAACATTCATTCCGCCTGAATGGTTCTTTTCTGTGAGAAAATTATAGATATTTGCATATAAATTCCTCTACTATGTTGGTCATGCGGTTAAAATCCAGCTACTGTGGCAACTACATATTATTCATTAATATGTACATTCTGTAGTTGCCACAGTAGCTGGATTTTAACCGCATAACAAACATAATAGAGGAACTAATATGCAAATATCTATGCTAGGATGGTTCCTTTAATACAGACACATTTTCAAAGGCTAAAGTAAAATTACCACAGAGGGATCATTATGCCCTGGTAATGTATACAATATACTTTCTATTTTAGATGATAGACCGATCTATTAAGCCCCCTTCCAAAGATATTTTGACTAATCATAAGTCCGACATAGTGCAGACGCGAATACGCGCACGTCTAAGTGATATGGTGCTGTTGGCATCAAGCTCAGAGGTTGGGGCCTGTTTGACCGATCTTGCTATGATTTTTTTATCCTTCTTGTTGCAAGGTGATTCACCGTGATTTGGCCGCTAGAAACATTCTGGTTGGAGAGGCGTTGGTTGCTAAAGTCTCTGATTTTGGGCTGTCCAGAGGGGAAGATGTCTACACGCAGATGTCGTCGGTACGTAACAATTTTTAAGCACATGACTATTCATGCAAATGCGATGGGATTTTAACGTCACAAAGCATTCGCTGCGAAATTTGCCTGAGTTGAAATGTGTTCAACTTTTGCGAATTTGCAGCGCGAAAAGCCCCCCTGACGTCACAACTTCGCGTACGCGTTCGCTTTCGCGCCGAATATGAATCTGTAAGTGCCATATGAACTGAAACCATCTCTTGTTGTTGTTGTTGTGGAAACATTTCTCGATGCAACAGTTTCCACCCCCGGCTATGCACTTTGCTGTCGCAGAGACAGACCCAACACAACTGGAGGAGGGGACTGTTGTTAACAGCTTAGAACGAATTCCTATTCGTGAGGGCGCTGTGTTATGGTCATCATTCTCTTACATCTGTGTCTCTGAGTTAACCCGATTTTTTGTTTCTGTATGCCGAATGTGAGTGATCATTTGCTATTAATATAATATAGCATCAGTGATACCAGAGGACCAAGATCAGACCAGTATTTCCTTCTGATGATTGTGAAAAATCTGACAGCGTTTTGAGATCGTCTTGTGCTGCTTTGGACATCTATCGCGTGGACCCAAGTCGGCAAAGAACAATAAGATTGCGTCACTGACATACCTCAGGACAATTTACAACAATGGGTGTCATGCGTTGGATCTTTTTGACATGGCTAGCACTGATCGTTCTGAAACCACTTCTTCCACCCCAGCATGATGTCAGATATGTCATTTCCCCTTTCTCTGTATCACTCAAACTGCCCTTTGATCATACAGCGGTTTGTTCATCTTTGACACCAATCAGATTATGTACTTTCGCCCATCACTATGAACTTGAACTCATGTGGCTATCTCTCAAATTGCAATCTGAGAGTTGGCTACTCGGTCTTGTGTATCGTCCACCATCCTCAAGTGCTGCCTATTGGCCCAAACTGGCGATGGAATCCATTCACGTCGATAACTACGATGGGTGCCTCTTTGTTGGGGATTTCAACTTGGACTTCAACCATCAAAGACCGGCTTCAGCTCATCGATCTCATCTTCTGGAATTATCTGCCGATTTTAACCTTGAGCAGCTTGTAAGGTCGGTCACGACCACCACGCTGATCCGATGGAAGGTTCGACTATTGACCTTGTCTTCTCGGATCGCCCTGACCGCTACTCATCAGTTACCACAGTACCGAACCCTCTCCAGTCAGATCATCTCGGTATTCACATCAGATTTCGCTCCTTTACAACTCCACCCAGACCAGCTTCACTCCGATCTTTTCTATAGACCCGTCGTGGCGACTTTGACCACTTACGCCAACTAATTCACCTGGTTCCCTGGTCGGCGTTCATTGACGCCGACGATATCACCTGGTCAACGACAACGTAGTGGATCTGTTTGATGCTGCTATTCAGGACTCCATCTCCAGAGTGACCAAACGGAGATTCCGCTGCTCACCCTGAATCACACCAGAACTGAAACACATCATCAACAGAAAGCACCAACTTTTCAACAGAGCAAAGAGAACTGGCTTGTTGAATGACTGGAACTCGTATAAGGTTATTCGTAACAATGTTAAGAAGCATACCCGCAAATCTTACTGGCAATATGTTAATGATCTATTTTCCTCTAATGACAACCGACGTTCATTTTGGTCTTATGTAAGGAGCCGTAAGCATTCTCCTCCTCCCCTTTCCTTTATTTGTGGTAATGTCAAACTTACTCAATCTCATGAAATAGCCACTGCATTAAATGATTACTTCTCCTCCGTTTGTAAGCCACCAGGCCCCATTCCTCATGAACCCCCTGCTTGCTCTCTCCCAATTCCAAGCTTATCTGTTGTTTCTGTTCTCCCGGGTCAAGTCGCATCCATACTTCATAAGAACATTTGGGTGTCACAGTTGATGAGAAAATCACTTAGTCAAGGCACATTTCCAATATTCCTGCTAGAGCTGGACAGCAGCTGGGAGCTGTAAGGAGATGTTGTAGAGCAAAGCTCTCCCCATCATCGGCGTGGACGCATAGGATGCAAAAGTGAATCTCTTCATTCTTCGTCATAGACGTCTAGTAGCTACTACAACAGTTCTGTACATGATGCATGGCAGTCTTTGTCCATCAGACTTGAAGGCTATGCTCCCGCAGCCCCATATGAGATACGAAGTGCAACACGCTTCAGCTTCATCAGTCGATACCCAGCCACGCACTCGCTGATCAAGTCTCTAGGACATATTCCACTGGTAGAACTTTCATCCACACTGCAGTCCATATCTGGAACAGACTCCCAAAATGTTCAGCTGGAGTAATCAAAGACATTGGCAGTCTCTCCTTCAAAAGTAGGGTTCATCAACATCTCCTTTCAAGGCAATGATTTGTAGCAAGCTCCTCTCAGCTAACCACTGATTGGCCCACTGAGACTTTATTTATAGTGCTTTGTTGCCTATATTTGCACATGACCATTGTCATACTCCTTGGGCTACTGTTCACCTTAGCACTATAGCAAACTGTAAACAAATGTACACAAAATAAAAAATGCAGTGTGAAAAATGGTAAGCAGAATATAAGGAATCACAGTTCAAAAGCTACCCAGAGAATGGTAACCGCCCTTCTTCGTTCAATGTGGTGTCTATCTTTCTGACAGGTACCATCTGTGTATTTCTTCTCAATTACAGAAGCGGGTTCCCCTTCGTTGGTTAGCAATTGAGTCCGTCAGGCTCAATACATACACCACCAAGAGTGATGTGTAAGTTTGCTTTCTCTGTCGTGTATTGAAGACCAGTGGCGTATCCAGCTTTTTGTGTCAGGGCGGGTAAAATAACTGTTTCGACGTCTGAAGTAACAGTCTACAGTCCATCTCAAAAATACTGTCGTTTTTTAATTGTTTAATGACGCCATCAAATGCGCAGGGGGGGGGGGGAGTTGACCCTTGGTGCTCCACACCTCCTCCGCTGGATACGCAACCGCTGCAAACAGTTGTGCATCTCTATAAAAAAAATTCATCTGGCAGTTATGTAAAGTTGCACGTTGAGGGCGCTAGTCAGACAAAAACAGCTCCAATTCCATAGACCGTAACACAATACTAAGACAAGCGGAATCTTTCTGCAGTAAATGTTTATGGAATTTTATGTACCATTGTAAACATACCTTATAATGCATGTATGTCTTTTATAAGATTATGTCATTGATTTATTTTTTTCATTCGGATTTTTGCCTGCTTCCTCCCTTCACAGCCAGGAATAGTGAATACCATTTTGATTTGTGTATTTGTTTTTACTTTGTTCACTTAGGTGGTCGTTTGGAATACTTCTGTGGGAAATCGCCACTGTTGGTAAGCTCTTTCAACCCAATATTATGAACAATGGGATTTGTATACCACCTAAATACTTAGATAAAATAATAAAATAAAGTAAACAGAGAAACATCATTTTCCATTTAGTCCTGTTGGTAGTCTCAGAAGGCAAGCCTGACTGAACATTATCTAAATCATTTTTAACACTTCGAATAAACACAATAATACCCTTAATAAATCTTTCCTCGTGTAATTGTTTTTTTTTTTTTTTATTCGTAGGGGGAACTCCCTACCCGACCATTGACAGCGACTTTTTGCCTGGAAAGCTGCTGAAAGGGTACCGCATGGCTAAGCCGAGCAACTGTGATGACCACAGGTATTTAGAAGAGAGAGTGTAAAAGGTTCCCCAAAGGAAAACAGAATTTAACTTTCTAAATGGAAAGTAACAATATTACTCACAGATCGGTAGATGTACTTGTTTAACGATCGTAAAGAGTAAATGCATCGTCTGTGCTGATCATCTCATCCATGGCGAAGTGTATGGTTCTTCATTGAACAATGATCTGTTATATTGGTCGCTTGTGAATCCTTTCCGTTTCAGTATTATATGTCTGTGCTCATGTGTGCTTTCGGTGTAACAGGTCCTGTTTCAAGTAGCCCTTTCTCTTCAGTACAATTCAGCCCTTTTCATTATACAAAATGTAAATATCAATAAAAAGAATTAAAATAATAATAATTAAAAAACGATGGTTAGGTTTTCATGACATTGCGTATGGTATGTTGGAAAGTAGATATTAAGGATAGGCCTATGATGCAAGAATTTCGTCCGTACTAACATTAACAAATCACACATTCAATAGAACTTTCACTTTCAAAATAAAGTTATGTAGTTGGAACAGACGACTTGCCTTAATTAAAACTCTCTATTTATTAATTTTTCTGTTAAACATGTACTCAAATCATAGGCGCGACGACGATGATTGGGTGCGGATCAGAAGAAAGAAAACAATCTTTGATTTCAATTCATTTCAATGTAGGCTAGGCAGACTGATTTTTGAATTTCAGAAAAATGGCACGAAAAACCGATCAGCCTTTCCAGTCACAGTTTGTTTTTGGTTCTTTTACTTTAGTTATGCTCTGATGCTAAAGTGCTGGAACGAGGATCCTAATAAAAGGCCAACCTTCACCGAGTTGGTCTCCATCCTGAGTGGCATGGCAGTGAATAACACCAATAGTGTGAGTTGCACTTCACATAAAAAAGTATTCGCAAACCTAACTTAAGTAGCTGTACATTTATCTAAGGTCATCTGGACTCACGAAGCCAGTGCAGAAATGAAAATCAACTCTAAATCATTAGAAATCCATTGGAAACGGACCGCAGCTATTAACGGACCTTAACTGCGCCGTGAGGTCTTTGCTACCCCATTTGGCGATTCTAACTTGACATTTGGTTGGCATTTTGATATCCTGCTTAGTTTATAATGAAGACATAATTCTTTTCCGATGAAAAGAAAGCTGTCACTGAAAAAAAGGAAAGACGACAGATACTTAACGAATGAGGGCGTTGTTACGACGCCATTTGGGGAATAATACAGATGTGTTTCTAGACTTGTCCATGCCCCCCCCCAAATAAATATGGGGACCGGGAGCTAGTTACCATTTAAGGCCATTGATTGGATCACCTTTGCACGTGCGAAGTATGATTGTTTATTTTTGGAAATGATGATTACAGCGTTGTGCATGGATGACAGTTGAACCCATGCGACCATAAAATAACCAGACTCTTACCATACCCAGTAGGCACAATAGCCAGCGTCTTCACGAAGGCACCTTTCGAGCATTTCAACTGTAAAGGTTTCAAAATACTGAAAATAGTGCCCCTTTCTTTATTGAGAAGTACTGTGGAAACAAAGCTTAATACGCCAATATTATTCAACGGTTAATGTTTCCCCTTTTATTTTGCAGACGTATATGGCGATGGACGGCATCAGGTATATCAATTGGAGCGCCATTCGCCCCGAGTTTGATGACAAATGAGGGTTTACCAAAGCAAAGAAAGGCGTGGTGCCTGTTTCTCTTCGTAACACTGGTTAAGTCAACTGGAAGATTGAAAGAATTAGGCAAGGCGAGGAAGTAGCAATTTCTTAAATGTCTGTGCCTTTTGTAGTTCTACTATAACGCTAAGGAAACGTGATAGACCTATAGTTCGCCAGCGTTACTATAAAATTAGAGCCTTCTAAACTATGGAGATCTAAACTATTATTTTGTTATATAATATGAATCTTTGTACCACCTTACCATCAACATTTTTTTGTAATATAATTTTTGTTCACAATGTATTGATTTTAGAGTTTAAGGGCATGAATGTGCACACTGTCAAACATTGAACGAAATCGCCCGACTGTACGGAGATAACACATATTAGTCATTACCATTTTAAGATAGTGATATTTCGACAGAAAATGTCGGGTCAGGCCTAACTAACTATAATATTAGTCCTAACTAACTATAATATTTAAATTCTACTGACGTATGTACAAAATGTACTTAACATAATGATTTCATTACATAGTTAATTACGGATTGAAACAGCGAAATGTGAAAACGTACAAAAGGTCAACTGTCAAGACTATTCAAACAACTATGTTTGATACCTGCAATCTATTACAACAGGAAATGGTACCTTAGTACAGCATGAAATGGCAACTTAATGAGGAGACAGTTTATTGTAAATAGTTTCACACAAAATACTGGTCAGAAGCAGACATTTCAGTGGTCACATCTCTAATGCTTTTAAGAATTCTATCGTCGAAAAATGCTTAAAACGGGGTTTTTTTTAGTATTTTTAACGGGGTTATGAGAGGGTTTCTGTTGGTTTTTGTTTGTGTGCAAGTCTTCTCAATAAGGTACCAGTCTTACTATGACTACTATAACAACTATAATCAAGAGTATTATTTGGCAAAATAGAAGACGAAACGCCCTCCTCTTTCCACTCAGACACGCCCTTCCTACTACACGGTGAATTATAAACGCTATTCCTTTACTATACAGCAAAACAGTCAAAGGCACAATTATATTACAAAACTTGAAATCATTAGGAGTAACGGTTAAGATAACAACACTATACAGATTAATAAATATGGTATGCGAATGTTGAAGTGTGCAAGTTCAACTACATGTACAGTGGAGTGCGATAACATACAACAGCAACACGATAATATAGGTTTTCCCGGACAATTTCGGAAAATGTGCGTTTGAATTTGTAAAACATAAATTCAATTTGGCGCCGAGTTTGAGAACGACGTACATCCTGGTTTTATTTTCGCAATAACTAGCATTCGATGTCATTTTGCATCAATCAAATGAACGAATGTGCATAGCGTTTCATTTAAGGGATTACAAATACGTGATTATGTTTTCGGTTTGGCGTATGCGTTGCCGATTATTACGAATGTACAATCCAATTCGCAGAAAATCGATTGTCTATTGTGACACAGGCTGAATTGAACATTCTTTTTCATTTGTTACAATTTAAATTCGCATTTTCGGCATTCAATTTAAATAAATTATTCAGGCCTATACAAATCATGATACAACTTTGATTCATTAATTAATGATTCATTGATTAATCAATGTATGCCTTATTGATCATGATGTGATTGATGTGTTTGTTCTTATATACACGCCTATGTGAAATGTAGGCAAATGGAATGTGAAAATAATATTTAATATGACCAATATGAAATCACTCAAAATAATCTTGTAGCCATATTATTGAGACGGTAAAGGGACACATCACGTGTCATGTTACAAGGGATCTGCATGGAGACTTTTTGAATATTCAAAATTCAATCATTCAATCAACCATTCCTCAACTGTTACTTTAACACATAAATGAGTTCCAATGCTTGACCAGGCATACGTTAAATAACACTGCGAGGGAAATCGGCTGCACATTTAGCGAAAAAGATTGATGATAAATTAAAAGGAAAACGGGACTGCGGATGTGCCTCCGATTTCGCGCTTAAATGAATTGTCAATACACTAAATGCAGTGCACATTCGGGAAATCGTACGCTGATTTTGTTTACGACTGAATGCACTTTCACGGAAAAAGAATAATCATTTGTTCAATAGAAACAGAGATTTGGAACGTTCATTCTATTTCGCACGAAAACAAATGCTTCTTTTACAAATTCGTGTACACATTTTCCAAAATTGTTCGGGAAAACCTATATTTACCTGTATAGTATTTGTTCTTCCCTATATAGGGCAATTTCAATTTGATTGGTCCCCACTTATTGCTGAATATTCAATATCAATCCAGTTTTAAATGTTTAGTCACCAACACCCGACGTCAAAGTTGTTTAACAATTTACCCCAGTGTACAAGGTGTATTGAACATGATGGGTTCATGTGCAAAAGTTATGAACTTAAACACTGTCAATGTGGCTCCATCTTAAAGGGTATGTCATTAACTTTTCATTGGTATCTGATTTGCATCTCTTCAGCCGTGGATGACCGAGCACCATGGATTCCAAAACAAAGGCCAATAACCCACTGTTTCCAAGTTTCCTGAATAAGTGGTGAGCTAAGCTGGCACATGAATCTAATATAGGTTTTCCCGGCTATTTTAAATCAGTTTTCATTCAAAATCAACAACTCTAACATACAATTTCGTTCAAGAAAAGTTTCACACGCTTTTAACAAAACCAATTCAGTCATTTACCATTCAATTTCAAAGCTTGGTCACCCTTTTTAGTCACCGGGTCAAGAATATTCGTCAAAACAGATCAAATTCGTGTAAGCTGTTGCCGAATGGCAGTAATCATAGATCGAATTCCTCTTTATAAATCTATTAGACGAATTTGATTTGTCAATAACAAGGTTTGGCGTAGACGAGACGAAATCGAATACTCCTGGACGAAAACCTGCTCATTAATTTAGTTTGCTTGAACTGAATTTGAAATTTGTCTGACAAAAGACAAAATTAAACATTAGAAGTGCTCTAAATCGAGGTTGATGGACGAATTTTAAAATTAGAAGCAGTGAATTCGAATGATAAATGTTTTAAAATAGCAGGGAAAACCGATTATACCGGAGTCTTATATAGCGCACTTTTTCTACCACCAATAGGTACACGAGGCACTGGAAATTATGTATATTATTAAAGAAAGGTAAAAATACTTTATGACAAAAGTTTATGACAAGTATGCTTCCGTACTGTGCAACTGTAATTAGCAGTAAGACCTGCCGCTCTGAAGTAGACTTTACATGAGATTTTCCATTCTTAAGTTGACATTTTGCCAAAACCGCCTCCTTCACTATACCGTTTAATGATGGAATGATATATTGTGCTCAAGTTCTAATTAAGCATAAACATAATTTCTGAGAGCCTGATTACTCGTTCGTAAGCACAGAATGCACGGTAATAAGCAGTTGTGGATCTTGCAGTATATTCGGCTCAATTAGCTTTTAGTGAAGGTTTCGCTCTTGTACTCGAGTTTCTAATTAACGGCAAAACACTTTAGCGCTCATTAGGCCATTCTTAAGCATGGACAGGATCGGTCGTTTTATGTTACTGACCATCAATCGATTAAATTGTAATTGAATAATACTTGTTTCGTGTTGGAACGGTGCTTGTGCGCGACATTCTAATTAAAGTCAAAGGGGGGGGTACTTCTGAGGTGTACGCGATTGGCAAACATTTTATTCCTCGTTAATGATATATGTGAAATATGCTAACCATAAGTTCAGATTTCTGCTGCGGTATACAGTATATTTTTTAGTTACGACGTGCTATCAATAAAAGTGTTTAACAGCCTTGGAGTTTTGCCTACACACGCCGGGTTTTCATTTCGCACCACACGATCTTCCGGCCTGTCGCTGCCGTGCCATATCCGATGCCACGTTGGATGCTGGTTTGGTATTCACCATTCAAGTTCTTTTTGCTGCCGCTGCAGGTGCTGAACCACCAACCGCCTCTCTCCTGCTGTGCACAATTCGCCATGGACTCGTCGTTATCTTGATCGTACGTGGAGAAGGGGTGGCCTTTTTGTCCGCTGATAGATACCTGATTAGCTGAAAATCAAAGAAAAAGGCGTAATTAGACGGCTGTTTTGTTATATAGGTCGCGTACTATATAATGCAGCAAAATATGAATTGTGAGGCTAAATAGAAACATTGTCAACTTAATCGTTTGTATCTCGAAACACGCATTTGCCACTTTGCGGGGTTTATAACATCACTTCGTGGTGACGGTGACGAAATGTGTGCTCGACTGGTTTTAAAAACTCTGTTTAAGACCGGTCTGAGTCTTGAATTACTTCTTTGATAATTACCCTCGGCAAGCCCATTCATAAATATCTTTCCCGTCCAAAAATCAAACTTTTCGGTCTAGAAGTCAACGCAAGTTATTCTGAATGTTCGATGATTTCGGTCACCTATTTCACCTCATAGTTTTCGAAAAACTCTAACTATAATTATGGAATGTCCATCTTGCGCTAAGTCGTAAACAACTCCTTATTGCGTGTGATGTATAACGCAGCTGTGCCGGTGTATTGTGAATTTATGAATATGTAATATGGACTCACCGGTAGTATTGCGCTGCCTACGTGCATGAGGATGTGAATATTCAAACAATAAAATAGTAAAAAGCACTGGATTTCATAGGAGTCCAAATTTCATGTGACACTGGAACATTGTATAAATTCGGCCAGCCGGTCACTTCATCAACGGCTTTAAACTGGCAACGTGACGGACTCTCCAACAAAAGGAATTGATACGTAAACCTGAGTAAACTGTCAAAGGTATTTATGAATGCCGCAAAAATAATTGTGTCATTCATTTGAATGACACAATTATAACCAACAATTACCTATATTAAATAGAGAGTACGAATATCCAAGATGCAGCTCGTACGTATTAGCTCCAATGTTAAAATTCTGATACACTCCACGCCCAGTGCTTCCAACATCATTTCGGAGATCCATTCTCAAAGACCAGGTCTGACCGGGGTTGTCGGTCAGACGGTGCAAGGCCTCATTGCCCAACCAGAACTCCCCCATCAGACCACCGAAGCCATCACGGTAATCGGCCCAGCTACGGGTGAAATTCACCGATCCATCCACGCGTCGCTGAAATACCTAAAGAAAAAAAAATAGATTGAAAACGATTGGGCAATTTTTTTTACAAAACAACAGATCCTCGGCAAGGAATATAGATTCTGACTTTTCTTTCTGTTTAATCGTGTGCAGTCTAATCTTGGCGCATTCAAGATAACTACTATACAAATCAAATGGATTTCAAAAGAATAAAAAAGTTTCGATGAAAACAATGACTTCATTAGGACTGCTGGACTTTTCGTTTGAAAGTATAGGTTTTTTTTCTCTGTAACCATTCTTATTACCAGGATTTTAATCCAAGTATATTTTGAATAAACACCACTTCTGTGCATGGGATTGCCATCTTTCTTTCATCATCACCGCTATTTATACATATGTTATAGGATTTCTTGTGTCATTTTGACCCGGAAATTAAAGCACGAGGCCAATAGAACCAAGATCAGAGTTTAGAGTGATATGCCATCAGCTTGGGGGTTTGGTCGGTATCAAATCAGGGCATAAATGATTATAGTGCGCATGCGCAAGGTATACAGCCCCTAGAGTGGTAACAAGCATTTTGATGGACATTTTGAAAAAAGGTGATAACACCTAAACAGCTGCCACCGCTGCAATGCTATCACATATTTTCCAACTCTGCAGGTGTATACCTTGACAAAAATCGCTGTGACGAATATTCTACTCATTTGATACCGGTTGCCAAAATTTTGGACCGAGGCTGAGGGCCTAAGAGCGTTGATTGTAGCATTCGAACTTAAAGGAAACGTGCAGTGGAAATTCAGCTCATCTTGTTTTCATGCACATTACTATGTGTGTTGCAACAAGTCGAGCACTGATAAGAAGAGCACTGTTAATACAAGATACTGCTTATAACAAATTTTAGGTACTAAGTCTTTGTTTTTCTTTGTTTTCCATTACTGATAATACAAGGTACCTGTTATAACAAGGTAATTCTTCGAGTCCCAGGAACCTTGTTATAAAGGTGTTCGACTGTTCTTGTTTTATTGAAGTGACATGAAAGTGTAGTTTTTCAATTGTTAGCAAATGTCATAGTGCAGTGGTTTAAACGCTGTGATGCATAAGCTTACTATTAAGTACCCTCAAACAGTGACAAAGTATAATTGATTGGGGAATGGGATTAACTTACGATCCAGCCTTCGTTATCCATATCACAGTAGACCCGTAAGCCCTCTGGATACTGCGACGGGTAGATGGTGTAGGCACCATTCGTCCTCTCACCGGCTTCATATAGGGCTTCACAGTCGGGCGCCCTGACACCCACAGTTGGTTCTGCAGTTGGGTCAGCAGTGGTCAAGTTGAAGTAATACCAAGAGGTTTGACAGTTTATCCTATCTGGACCGGGGCGCAACAAGGCACCTCCGAAACTTATTTTCGTAATAATTCTTATTTCGTGAATTTTCCTGATTTTAATCGGAGTATGTATTGAATAAACACCACTTCTGTGGAATGGCCATGTTGCCACAGCAACCGATTGAAACAAAATTTAGGTACATTTGGGCTATTTTATATAAGTTCATACAACTATGCATTTTTGGGAGATTAAAAAATGTGTAAATTTGCTATGTACATTTTTGTTAAAATCATGATCACGTGATCAAACAATGCGTGTTGGCAAATAAGGCTGACATTTATGGCATACAAAAAAACCCCAAATTTTACCTTTTTCTGCACAATAATTTTATCGGTTATTGTATGGTACTCTTGTAAAGCATGAAAAAAGTACTTTATTTGCGGCCTCGGCCTCAGCGGTGACTTACAAATGTTTGTACCAAATCTGAAAGGATCTGAATAGAAAATGTAGGAATGATGGAAGAGGAGAAGTACTGTATTTGACTTAAAATGTACACAATTACGTTTCTGTCAATCACAAAAAAAATCACTGAGGTAAAGTCAACACGTGTTTTGATGTTCTCTTGGTCTCCTTGGTACACTGAGTCATCGCTACAGGCAGAGGGCGCAAATAACACACAAACGCCCGGTTTTTAAAGGATGGATGAGTGTATGTTTATATCCTACTTTCAAATGTTCTTTCCGATTAACATCATCGCTCAACGCGCGTTTTACATGACATTTTTCGGGTATTTCAGGGCTTAGTGCCCCTTTAAAGAGTACCGGCCAGCCAACTACATGCACAACTTAGGAAATTCAGCCGGTATATTTTAACTTAAAAATTTGATTCATTTTCCTGTTTTCAAAATAATGTTTCTTGTTTCGTAGATGTGTTTTTTTATAATGGAACTTTTCGTCTGTATTCAGAGTACCCAAATCACTTTGAGCACAGATACATCTTGACGATAATTGTGGTCCCATTAATAATTAAAGTGGTCCAGTTTAAGTTCATTTATTCTCATTCTACTGGCCAAAAAGAGGGCATGGTGCCTTTACCATCGTGCCCATTAAATCCAATAAAACTGTTCCTTGTCAAACAAAAACAAACGAACAAAAATAAACAAACAGTTGGATCCTCACCTGGGCAGTTGAGCCGTTCACGAATCTCCGTCTTGTTGGTTGAAAACAAGACCGGTTCGGAATTGGGGAACTGGTGTATTGCAGGCTGCGCGATCTTAGGATTGCTCAATCCGCCGGGTACGATACTGGTGCACTCGCAAGGGTCGGACGCAGAACGCAACACCCAGCGAAGTTTGCTTTCCCGCTGAGGGTCCGGCTCGCTGCCCAAGTAGCATACTCTCGCAGAGGTGAGGTGAATTTCTCAAAGAAAGTAAGAGGAAAAAGAAAACCCATTTAGGTTGATTTGTGAACGCATGCCTGTAAACCTTGTTTTTAACACAGGATTTGTATTTCAATGGAAACTGCTAAGCCTCACCCGAGCATGGAGCAAAAACATTAACGGGCCTTTATAACATAAGCAGGTTTAACGGCATCAATCGCTTCTCAAGAGTTAAGGGGGGGGGCATACCTTGATTAGCATTTATGCGAACGCGAAGCGCGAACTATAACGGCGTGGGGTTTTGGCCCGCTTAAGGGCCCCGAAATGATGTTGGATTCTAGACGCTGTGTGGTGCAATGAGGCAATACTGACCACTTAAACCCATTTTTTGGGGCAAAACATTATACTTATCTGAGCTATAGATTTATATTTATGCTGCAATTTTTATTTGGAGACGAAAAAAGTGGGGGTGAGGTGGGGGATTTGGTGCCCGCTTTAGGAATTCTAGACGCTGTAGTGCGATCTGAGGTAATTTCTGACCAAATTTGACCAATTTCATTTGGCAAAAAAAAAATACCATTGAAACATAATTGCCGAGTTTTTGATTATTTGTATTACCTTTTCTGAGCCGTGAGATTCATATATAGGTGGGGGGGGGCAACGATTATGATATCCCCCATTCTAAAAAAAAAAGTGTTGGGGACTTGTCAGTTACTCGCTTGAAATGTTTTAATTTCAATATCAAGATGTGTGACGCTGTCAAAAAAAAGATAATGGTAATTATAAGTTAAAAACCTTTTCATTCAATTTACCAAATGTTAATTCAAATTCGTCCGAGAAGAATTTGACATGCTTTGAGCAAAATCATTTTAGTCATGTATCTATTTGGTACTTGATCAACAATAGATTCGTCAATACAGATCGAATTCCTCCCAGCAATTCCTGAATGACAGCATTCAGAGAACAATATAGCTTTCATTAGTTACCTTTACACCTGTATCAAGGAAGTTTCATAGAAAGAAATGGCAAAGAAAACTTTAATACTTTAATAATTTTGCTACGCCATTACAATTGTAACAGCATTGTACTCACCTACACAAATCACCAGGAAACCCACCAGTGGCGTTGGTATCATTTTCGCCTGGCTTTCTAATAAGATCCTTCGTATTCTAAGATGGTCCGTGATTCTCGGTGATTCTAATATTTCCAAGCAAGATGTGTGAGCAGGCTTGTGCTTGCTACGAGTACTCACGTTTTGCAAGGTTAGGCGACCTACACGCAACAGCGCTGTTATCTTTTCTGTAGACCAAAGCATTAGGATCTGGTACAAAACATCGTCAATTAGGCCAATAACTGGCTCACTTCAGTGGCTTCTAAATTGTTCAATGAGGACACCAATACCAAGGTTAACTCTTTAAGTGCATTTTTACCAAAAACATAACACCTTCCGTGGAGAATATGAAATAATTATGATCATTATAGCTGAAGGTTTGATGGATATGAAATAATTATGACCATTAGCAAGGGTCGTTGGATCCATTACAAGGCCAGTAACTTAGGCAATATCGTAAATTTTTAATCATTTAAACGTGTATATTTTGGCCACTGCCGACATTTTTTTTTTTCGAGATAATGAAACAAAAGAACAAGCTTGTAGTGCACGGACCCATCGAGTACAAATACCTCTCAACGGTGATAAATAGAGAGGAATTTCTACAATACTCCGTGAACATATACATGTACTTCAAAACAATACAGTGCAATCCATGAGCGTCGCTAGGATATTTATGGAGGGGGCAAAGCTCATTATCCCTCCTGTACTTTTCCAGCATATTCTGGATTTATCATTTTTTTGAGGTTGGGCAGGGACATTTTCCCCACCCCCACCCCATTAAATTAACAGCAATATGACTTCGCCCCTCTTTTTCTGTCTTTTCCCCCTTTTGTTCTCCTTTTTTTTCCTTTCCAGGAAGAAGGGGGTGGGGTGAGCACCCCTTGGCTCACCGCCCTCACGACGCCCATGGTGCGATAAAACATTGTTTATATTCAAAACAATTGTAGAGGGTTTGGTAATGAAAATAGTATGCAACTCTAGATTTCTTTGGGGAGCGTGTTATACATTATATTTGCAGCTAGCTTCAATTAAAAAAAACTGATACCAGCCTAGTTATATGTTTCTGTGAACATTATTTCTCAAAACAATTGTTCAAGACATGTTTCAAACTACAGTAGTCCAATGTGAAGGTATAACTTATTCAGCATTTCATATGAAAGCTCTTCTCTCCTTATATGTTCTGTGAATCGCATATAAACTGTTTTTAGTCAGTGGGCTTGAGGTCTGGTAGCCCATATGCATTTTCGGGTACATTCTTTGAAACCCACAGGATCACTTGCAGATACCTCAAGGAGTTCAAAACCACTTGATGCCATTTTTTCTGGCCCTTTTATGGGCGGGGTCATGACTTTAAAAAGTGGGGGCCTTCAAAGAAATGATTCAGATAATAATTAGCTAATTAGCTCACCAAAGAGCTACTAGAAAAAAAATCCAGAAATTTGCCTCTTCGGGGGTGGGGCCACATTTTATAAAGCGGGAACCCATAGGCTTTGCATTTTGAAACTCTCAGGGTCACATATGAACACATCAACAAGTCAATAAAAAATCGCTTGGCCCCATTTTTTTCAGGTGACCAGGTGTCCGGATAAAAAAAACTGTGTACATTTTCAGATTTTTTTTGCTGATGACCCCCCCCCCCCCGCAAAAATCCCTGGGTCCGCCCTTGGTACAATATGTAGGACAGATGTTTAAAATGGCTGCCATTTGGAAATTCAAAATGGCAACCCCAGGGGCGTTGGGACAAAATGGGACCAAGCCTTGACTCCTTGAGGTGTCCATAGGTGATCCTGAGAGTTTCAGAGAATGTATACCTGAAATGCATATGGGCTCCCGCAGGCCCACTTTTGGAATATGCCCCCTTTTATGAAAAAAAGTGTGGCACGCCCCAAAAAGGGAAATTATTTTTATGATTTGACAGGCAAGCATTCTGTCCAGCCGGTTTTCTGTACTGCATGGGAACAACACAAAAAAAAAAAAAAAAAAAAAAACACCCCAACAAACACCCCAACACCCCCATTAGAGACACACTCTTGGAAAAAATGGTCCGGTTTATTCCTTATGATGGGACTTGCGGTTTGGCCGAAGTCAATTTAGCGTGATCGGCTGACTGATATAAGTTTTACGCACAAAACCGCGAGCCAACGAGGTTTTTGTATAGAAAGCTGCCGAACAACATTTTGCAAGAGTGTGTCCGTAATGGGGTTGAAGCCTGCCGGTAATGCTGAGCCTGCATACCGCCAAACTTACCAATGGCATCCCTACATTTTCTCGTGCAAATAGGACCCATTTTTGGACCCTAATGTTATCAAATCTGCTCTTACATAATAGCCCGAAAGCTAAGGAGATGATCCTTGGCTATATTTGCACGATTCCACCGATTTTTAAACTAGACGGTCTCGTTTTTACACAAAATTGAGGGGGCACTTTTTGTGCAAATTAACGACTCGCGTAGAAATTTTTGAAACCCTAATCAAACTTATTTCGCCCGCTGTCTGTTTTATTGCGCCTATTCTGATATATCTTCTGTCTAGCCCCCCGCCCCCCCCCAGCCTCCCCTAACCCACCACCACATCAAAAATAATAGTAATTAAATACTGTTTAAAAATGTGCTCGTTTATTCAGAAATTCATGAAGCATATTCAAACTGATTGGATGTTTCCAAAGTGTCTTTCCCATTTGCAAAAGTTCTTTTTAAAAGCCCATAGGCTTGTAGCCCGCCGGTAATGCTGAGCCTGCATACTGCCAAAGTTACCTATGGCATCCCTACATTTTCTTGTGCAAATAGGACCCATTTTCTTGCAAAAGTTCTTTTTAAAGCCCATGGGGTATGCAAATTGTAATTTGGCGGGCGTATGCAAATTCGGGTCTTTTTATTGGACAATTTTATTGGACAGATTTTTTTTATTTCCGTTTAAGAGTAAAGATTTCCCTTAAAAAACACCTAATTATTTTATATTCCCTGGCGTGCCTTTATGTGCGCATCCCGCCCCCAATCACACATAAATAATAAAACGTCATTTCAGCTGGGTTTTGTTACTTTTGTAGTAGCTTGACTTCCTCCGCCAACAACTAAAACAAAAATAGGCAAAATACTGACAACCTTCCGAGAATATCAAGTGTCCCACATCTTTCAAGTTTTATTAATTTTGTTTAATCGCTTAGTCTTGACATACAAATGTCTAAACCAATTCATACAAACAAATACAAAAGATTTCAAATGAGGAAAAAATTTGGGCAGAAGGCCAATAAATTTGAAAAATTAATAATCACTTTACAACATCAAAGATGATTATTCGGCGACGTACCAGATCCGAAACTTTTAGGGAAAACTGCAGATGTGATAGCTGATGCCACTAGTTTCGTTTTTGTGCAGTAAGTCCCTTAATAGCAAGGCCTGTCAGGGCCAACCGACATGGCTCTCATGTATCGCAGTCTATAGGTACCTTTACATGGGCGGTTCTGGACAAACTTTATAGCGTTGGGAAGCAGATGAATGGGCCAACAAGCATGCACATCGGCAAGGCGACAGACCTGAAACGTTTGGAGCAAACTGCAGATGTAGTAGCTGATGCCACTAGTTTCGTTTTTGTGCAGTAAGTCCCATAGCAAGGCCTGTCAGCGCCATCCGACATGGCTCTCGTGTAAAGCAGTCTAAAGGTACCTTAACATGAACGGTTATGGACAAACTTAATACCGTTGAAAAGTGGATGAATGGGCCAACCGGCATGCAAATCGGCAAGGTGCCAGACCCAGCACTTTTGGAGAAAACTGCAGATGTAGTTGCTAATGCCACTAGTTTCGTTTTTGTGCAGTAAGTCCCAGAGCCAACATGGCTCTAATGTATCGCAGTCTAAAGGTACCTTAACGGTTCTGGACAACTTTATACCGTTGGGAAGCGGATGAATGAGCCAACCAGCATGCAAATCGGCAAGGCACCAGACCTGAAATTGTTGGAGGAAACTGCAAATGTAGTAGCTGATGCCACTAGTTTCGTTTTTGTGCAGTAAGTCCCATAGCAAGGCCGGTCAGCGCCAACCGACATGGCTCTCATGTAACGCAGTCTTAAGGTACCTTAACATAGACGGTTCTGGACAAACTTTATACCGTTGGGAAGCGGATAAATGGGCCAACCAGCATGCAAATCGGCAAGGCGCCGGACTTGAAAATTTTTGAGCAAACTGCAGATGTAGTAGCTGATGTCACTAGTTTCGTGTTTGTGCAATAAGTCCCATAGAAAGGCCTGGCAGCGCCAACCTACATGGCTCTCATGTATCGCAGTCTAAAGGTACCTTAACATGGACGGTTCTGGACAAACCCTTATACCGTTGGAAAGTGGATAAATGGGTCAACCAGCATGCAAATCGGCAAGGCGCCAGACCTTAAATTTTTGGAGGAAACTGCAGATGTATTAGCTGATGCCACTAGTTTCGTTTTTTTTTGCAGTAAGTCCAACAGCAAGGCCTGTCAGCGCCAACCGACATGGCTCTCGTGTATCGCAGTCTAAAGGTACCTTAACATGCTTGGAGTCGAATTTCATTGTCTTTTCAACCAATTGCAACGCCCTCTGCAAAGTTCCATCTTGACCTGGCCAGGGAATCTTGGTCAGGCAGTGTCCACCCAAGGCACTCACAAGCCGCTCCCAACATTGTTGCAACACGTTCATGCCAAGTATTCCTGGCACACCTTTTCCTAATGTCAGATGTGATGTTTTCTCCTTCAGCACAAGCACTTTGCGAGATTCGGCATTGTGCCCCAACACTTGTATGTCAGTCTCAAAATAACCAGAATAGGGAATGGTTGCCCCATTAGCTAAAACAAGGGAAAACAGCTCAGGTATTGGTAAAGCCGAAACCTCTCGGACTCTGAAGTACTGTTCTCCAACCGAAGAAACCTGCGAGCCCGGATCTAGTAGGCACTTAACTACTACATCCTTAAAAATGGCAGTTACAGAATAACATTCACCCACAGTCTTTGTAAGAAAGTGTGGATCCACATTGGTAGGTGAGCCTCTCACACCAACC